CTTTCGTTTTTTTCGTTTTCGGGCGAAAAATTAAGTTTCTCCAATCTTCTCAAAACTCTGGATTATGATAGAGGGCCACGAGACTTTGACCTGAGTGCAAAAATGGAGGCTCTAGACCCTTCCAGAGCTGAGATATCAAAATTCAAAATTTCGACCCGAAAAAAAAACGACAGTGTTACCCCTTTCGTTTTTTTCGTTTTCGGGCGAAAAATTAAGTTTCTCCAATCTTCTCAAAACTCTGGATTCTGATAGAGGGCCACGAGACTTTGACCTGAGTGCAAAAATGGAGGCTCTAGACCCTTCCAGAGCTGAGATATCAAAATTCAAAATTTCGACCCGAAAAAAAAACGACAGTGTTACCCCTTTCGTTTTTTTCGTTTTCGGGCGAAAAATTAAGTTTCTCCAATCTTCTCAAAACTCTGGATTATGATAGAGGGCCACGAGACTTTGACCTGAGTGCAAAAATGGAGGCTCTAGACCCTTCCAGAGCTGAGATATCAAAATTCAAAATTTCGACCCGAAAAAAAAAACGACAGTGTTACCCCTTTCGTTTTTTTTCGTTTTGGGCGAAAAATTAAGTTTCTCCAATCTTCTCAAAACTCTGGATTATGATAGAGGGCCATGAGACTTTGACCTGAGTGCAAAAATGGAGGCTCTAGACCCTTCCAGAGCTGAGATATCAAAATTCAAAATTTCGACCCGAAAAAAAAACGACAGTGTTACCCCTTTCGTTTTTTTTCGTTTTCGGGCGAAAAATTAAGTTTCTCCAATCTTCTCAAAACTCTGGATTATGATAGAGGGCTGTGAGACTTTGACCTGAGTGCAAAAATGGAGGCTCTAGACCCTTCCAGAGCTGAGATATCAAAACTCAAAATTTCGACCCGAAAAAAAAAACGACAGTGTTACCCCTTTCGTTTTTTTTCGTTTTCGGGCGAAAAATTAAGTTTCTCCAATCTTCTCAAAACTCTGGATTATGATAGAGGGCTGTGAGACTTTGACCTGAGTGCAAAAATGGAGGCTCTAGACCCTTCCAGAGCTGAGATATCAAAACTCAAAATTTCGACCCGAAAAAAAAACGACAGTGTTACCCCTTTCGTTTTTTTTCTTTTTCGGGCGAAAAATTAAGTTTCTCCAATCTTCTCAAAACTCTGGATTATGATAGAGGGCCATGAGACTTAGACCTGAGTGCAAAAATGGAGGCTCTAGACCCTTCCAGAGTTGAGATATCAAAATTCAAAATTTCGACCGAAAAAAAAAACGACAGTGTTACTTACTCCTTTCGTTTTTTTCGTTTTCGGGCGAAAAATTAAGTTTCTCCAATCTTCTCAAAACTCTGGATTCTGATAGAAGGCCACACGACTTTGAACTGAGTGCAAAAATGGAGGCTCTAGACCCTTCCAGAGCTGAGATATCAAAATTCAAAATTTCGACCCGAAAAAAAACCGACAGTGTTACCCCTTTCGTTTTTTTTTCGTTTTCGGGCGAAAAATTAAATTTCTCCAATCTTCTCAAAACTCTGGATTATGATAGAGGGCTCTGAGACTTTGACCTGAGTGCAAAATCGGAGGCTCTAGACCCTTCCAGAGCTGAGATATCAAAATTCTAAATTTCGACCCGAAAAAAACGACAGTGTTACCCCTTTTGTTTTTTTTTCATTTTCGGGTGAAAAATTAAGTTTCTCCAATCTTCTCAAAACTCTGGATTCTGACAGAGGGCCACGAGACTTTGACCTGAGTGCCAAAATGGAGGCTCTAGACCCTTCCAGAGCTGAGATATCGAAATTCAAAATTTCGACCGGAAAAAAAAACGACAGTGTTACCCCTTTCGTTTTTTTCGTTTTCGGGCGAAAAATTAAGTTTCTCCAATCTTCTCAAAACTCTGGATTATGATAGAGGGCTGTGAGACTTTGACCTGAGTGCAAAAATGGAGGCTCTAGACCCTTCCAGAACTGAGATATAAAAATTCAAAATTTCGACCCGAAAAAAAAACGACAGTGTTACCCCTTTCGTTTTTTTTTTTTATTTTCGGTGAAAAATTAAGTTTCTCCAATCTTCTCAAAACTCTGGATTCTGATAGAGGGCCACGAGACTTTGGCCTGAGTGCAAAAATGGAGGCTCTAGACCCTTCCAGAGCTGAGATATCGAAATTCAAAATTTCGACCCGAAAAAAAACGACAGTGTTACCCCTTTCGTTTTTTTTTCGTTTTCGGGCGAAAAATTAAGTTTCTTCAATCTTCTCAAAACTCTGGATTATGATAGAGGGCTGTGAGATTTTGACTTGAGTGCAAAAATGGAGGCTCTAGACCCTTCCAGAGCTGAGATATCAAAATTCAAAATTTCGTCCCGAAAAAAAAAACGACGTTTTCAGGCGAAAAATTAAGTTTCTCTAATCTTCTCAAAACTCTGGATTATGATAGAGGGCCGTGAGACTTTGACTTGAGTGCAAAAATGGAGGCTCTAGACCCTTCCAGAGCTGAGATATCAAAATTCAAAATTTCGACACGAAAAAAAACCGACAATGTTACCCCTTTCGTTTTTTTCGTTTTCGGGCGAAAAATTCAGTTTCTCCAATCTTCTCAAAACTCTGGATTCTGATAGAGGGCCACGAGACTTTGACCTGAGTGCAAAAATGGAGGCTCAAGACCCTTCCAGAGCTGAGATATTGAGATCCCACGTAGCATTTATGCCATTATAAAAATAGTGGGTTCACGGACAGTGGAATTTTGGGACGGCGCTTGGTGCTACGGACCTCAGGGGGGCTGCTGAGTGCAGTTAAATATTTTTTAGCATGACAGGAACTTTAGTTAAAATGTCTATCAAATATACTACTCGAAACCCCATTCAATAGATTGCAGGCGGGATGGTGTCCAACATAAAAATGGTATGAAACTCACACAGGTTTGGAACAACATTAGGGCGAGTAAGTGATAACAAATATAATTTGTGGTTGAACTATACCTTTAAAGGCATAGTTCACCCAAAAATGTAAAATAGCCCATGATTTAATCACCCTGGCCTCTAGCCATCCTTGGTGTATATGACATTCTTCTTTCAGACGAAAACAATCAGAGTTATATTAAACAATGTCCTGGCCCTTCCAAGCTTTATATTGGCTGTAAATGGTTGTTTCTGTTTTGAAAGTCCATAAAAATGCATCTATCCATCATAAAAGCGCATCTATCCATAAAAAATGTATATTAATACAAAATATTTAAAATATTCATATTTAAGTTGCGCTTTAGATTTAAGTCAAATCCATATGTTCTTTTGGACGGAAGTTATTTTACTTTATAAAGTTTTAAATACGGACATTTTTCTTACATGTCCATCTTCCTCATTACTCCACATAAAGTCAACATCTGAGATATTTCAATCAGCTATATGTTCAAGCACATCAGAACCGTATATTCTGCACATGAAAAAGTTTCAAAAATTTATCGGTACTGTGATATATATATATTTTTTATAAAAGAAATTTTAATCAGCATCACTGAAAATGCGACTTCACTGAAGTCACATTTTCAGTGATGCTGATTGAAATTTCTTTTAACAGGCTTTCAAACCTACTGTCCATTCTAATGGAGACACATTTAAAAAAATCCTGATTTAAAACGTGCAATTCTACAGTCGATTTTTAACTTTAATTAATAAGTTCAATCTTTCCATTTTACATATAAACTATGAAATACTGGCAAAAATATTTACAAAATGTAAATACACCTTAGAAAATGTTGCTTGCTTCTGTGTTTGGAATGAAGTGCTGCTATGCTCATCTTCAATGTAGAATTTTTTTTTTTCATATAATTACTACACGCAGAGCTTTACTGACATTTGATTGGATGAAAAACGTCCAATCTCATGGACTGCAGGCTTTAAACTAGGTGAAATGCTCCAGAAGTTAAAAAAAGGGGGCTGACATGTGATGTCCATTGTAATGGACACAGGGTCTGAATGGGTTAATCGGTCTGCAAATCCACTCTTCTTTGCAAAACAATCCTCAGTGAAATGAATCGAATAGATAGACAATGTTTTACCTCATCAGCTGGAACGTTAATAAAAATAAAGTTTATCCACACAGTCCTATTGGAATCCAGAGGAAGCCAATGCAGCGACTGTTAACTTCCACAACCAGGCACAGCACAATATTTTTTATTGCTCGGTAGCTCGATCCGGTTTGTCATCACGAGGTAGGCATCTATGTTATTTAGCTAATGCGTGTAATGTGCGAATCAGTGGGTGGGGCTAAACCGTCCATGTTGAAGTAGGAGTTGATCTTTTGCGGGGGTGGTGTTTTATCCTCTTTGACATCATAGTTCCCCACTTTGAAAAACGAGTCGTTTTCAGAGGCTGGTGTCAATAAAAGCTTTTATTGGACTAACAAAGACGTTTTCAGTTCTGAAACTTACAGGATAGTCTTAAAATATGATGACCTCTTAGAAGTCAAAAGCTCAAGGAAAATTTGATTTCCCAGTTCATCACTCCTTTAAATGACATTTTTAACCCAACATTTGGGTTTGTCCATATATTTGACCCAAATTTGGGTTGAAACAACCCAGCATTTTTAGAGTGCATTTTCAGGAAACTCGTTTATTTTAAGATTTGCTTGAGATTTAAAGGAATAGTTCGCAGTCGTTTACTCACCGAGTGATGTGGTTTCAAACACGTCAACTTTTTCCTCCATGAGAGGATTTAGGAATGGCATATTTAGTCATTTTTTACAATGAATAAGGACTAAAGGTTTGACACAAAAGCCCCACAAAACCAAAAAAAGAAAATGTAATATTTCAAGTCTTCTGTATGGTAGATTTACGAAGAACGGAATGGGGGAAAATCTCATTTTCTTAATGAATCATTTGATTCCGTTTGAAAAAGTGCACAATTCATATGCACCACTTTTATGATCTTTATGGTAAATTTGAATGATGAGAGTTTTGAAAGGCATTATTCAAATAGTTCAAACAAACATTAAAAAGAATAAAAATAACTGCAGACTCAATCAAGTCAAGTTGAATGAAGTAGAATTTATTTAGTTTGGTTGAACTACAGCACATCACCAGAACACATAAATACACAAATTTCATAGTGAAGTGATGCAGATTGACACGATGAAACTTTCCTGAAGATATTCAAGGCAGATATCGCACTCCGCAACATGTTCCATGAAGGGCGAGTATTGATTCTGTCATTACCAACACAACAGTGCATGTTTTGTTTGCAAATCACAGTTAAAAATATGATATAAGAAAGAAGCTACAATTAGGAATGCATATAAAGAAAGAGCACATTTAACAGTATCGGTTCATTCGTTTATTTACGGTTTTGAAAATGACATGACAGCCAAAGCATGCGTGTCCAAACGCTCGATCTCCAGGTGTACGCTTGACATTTTCACTCAACTGGGGCTCTGGTTAACTTTTCACTAATCTAACCGATCGTTGAACAAATGAAATAGTAAACGAGTGCCATGGTAGCAGATGGCGTTCCTCATGTTCTTATGACTGGTAACAGTCCAGGAGGTCTTGACTATGAATTATCCGACACTTTGCCAGTAAACCCGACGCCCTTTCCTCTGGGAGCCCAAAAACGGACTAATGTTGTTGCCACAGACCCCTATTTTAACACGGCTATGATGTCATTCCGATTGATTCCTTTTTCAGGTCTCAGATTGCAAAGATATTTGCTTGCACATGCCGAGCAAGACCCGAAGAAACCCAGGACGTTTGAACCACAAGACAACCAGAGCGAACACGGTGACCTTTAGCGATGCCAAACGTTACCTGCAAAACTACAACGTGGCCCTCAAATGTGACATTAATATCATGTCAATGTCAATAATACCTAGAAGACCAGAGATAGAGCGCGCCATGTTTTGAAACACAATATCAGCTGTGGATGCTTTACTGTTCCTGCCAAAGTGGCATTCTTACCCACTATATCAGCCCTGCCAGGCTCATATCAGATTATACCGACTCAGTGGCCTCAAACCAGACACGACTGGAGAGAAGCAGTTTACTCGTTCTGTTCGACAATAGCCCAGAAAAAAAAGGAGCTATCCCACACCCAGGACAAAAAAAACCTAACAAATATATCTTCCTATAACTGGTGGATCGTAAACTGGAAGGATTTTCTTTCTTAAGTGCATATTGGGTGTAAAGTGTTGGGTACAAACACCTATAAATCAAAGACCTAAAATTAACCAAGACATGCATCTGTACTGAAACCAAATCTCCATATTCAAAGGAAAGATCGAAGCTTTCCCCCATATGGCAAGAAAAAAACAGTTCATCTAAACGCTTGAACCCCACAACTTATCAGATTGAAAACATCTCTAGAATATCCAGTAGTGTTTCTTGGTCCTTTTCTGGAAACAAAGGGCCTCATTTATGAATCACAAGCTGGAGAAAAAAAAAATCATGTAAAACACAATTTCCGTAAGAGACATTTAACCACAGAAATTCCCCCTGCTTGCGTTTCATGGATGAGGCTCAATGTACCTGACATACAAACTGTGAAATCAAGAAATTAAATGTAATATTCATGTCAGCAGATATTCAATTCCAAAGTGACATTTTATAACCACAACTTTGGAAATGAAAATTAAACACCAGTTCAAAGTTCACAGCAAAAACGGAAAAAATAAAATAAAAATGAAAACCCTGCGCAGACTTTAATGAATCGCATGGAAAGCACATTAATGACGAACTGAAGCCTGTTCTTACACAGCCAGAGGAGTTATGTAGCCCAGCTGAGCTGCAATCAGCCAATGAGGATGCAGGAAAGAGAGCAGGTGCATGATGGTCTTCGTTCAGTCCGACTTCTTGTCCTGTTGAGCATCACATTTGGCCTGTGTTCAAAGACAGAGCAGAAAGAAGATGAACATCTCCAACTGACGGAGATTTGCATCATCCTGTAAGATTTAGCTGTTGGTTTTGAGTGACAGGAAATCTCAGTAGTTTTGTGAAATGATTTAGAACATTAAACTATAATTTAATCATTTTCTACTATACTTTCATAATGTTGTATAATCATTATACATGTAGGTTGTAAAAGTGTGTATTAATTGAGGATTCATTGGTCACCACAGGACCTTTCAAAATAAAGGCAAAAGAGTTATTAAAAACGATGAAAATCTTACCATCAACAAGCACATTCATACAAATAAATTTATGCGTTTCATTTATTCAATTAAGAAAACAGATTTAAATGTTTCGAATTTGAATAGTGAACTTTAAAAGCAAAGATTTTTCAGATTGTATTTTTAGGGCTGTCAAAGTTAGCAAATATAATTTGTATCTTAATATTTTTTTTTTAACTCTCATACTTTTTGAAAATTGTGGAACTTTTGTATAGTATAAATAACTATAATATATTAATATAATCTATTGTATCCATCTATCTACCAAGATAGATAGATAGATAGATAGATAGATAGATAGATAGATAGATAGATAGATAGATAGATAGATAGATAGATAGATAGATAGATAGATAGATAGATAGATAGATAGATAGATAGATAGATAGATAGATAGATAGATAGATAGATAGATAGATAGATAGATAGATAGATAGATAGATAGATAGATAGATAGATAGATAGATAGATAGATAGATAGGTAGATAGATAGGTAGATAGGTAGATAGGTAGATAGGTAGGTAGGTAGGTAGGTAGGTAGTCTCGATCAATCGATAGATAGATAATTAAGATAGATAATATAGATAATAGATAATTCTATAGACAGATAGATAGTCTATAGATATATAGATATCTCGATAGATAGATAGAATATCTATCTATCTCTCCATATATATAAATATATTCTATCTTTCTATCTAAGATAAATAGATAGAGAGAGAGATTCTAACAGTGATGTCATGCAATGAAAATGACGAGATGGGCTTTCCAGCGCTGTGTATGAAATCAAGCACGTTGTTGCCGTTTGCTGAGTGTGTAACGGTAATAACTGCAGCAGGTGTCTCAGTCTCTTAAGAGCAGCTGACGTGTGTGTAAACCAGAGAAGCCTGTCTATCAGACGCCCACCCTCTGTGTCTCACATACACACACTTGAGGAGACCACGGTCGCCACATTAATGTTTCCAGGAGTCGGCTGACAAGGGCAGACTTCAGGGAAATCGTTTGTATGTTTGTTTTTAACGCCATGCCATTCTGAGGTTATTTTCATTGTGAGAAACATTTATGTTAAAGCTGTATCAGATCGACTTCAGGGAAATAAAATGGAGTGATTCCCTTGCTCCCACCACACACAGACGAGAGCATGTGTAATTCACTTGCTTTGCAATATTTACTTGCAAAGATATTTTGCTTATAGCTTATTAAGGTATGGATACATATAAATGGTCAAAATGAGAAAGAGATTAAACATTCTTCCTCGTATGCATTTAGAGAAATATTGTTGAAATGCAACTATGGTTATATATGCTCGTGTGTGAAAACTGACTCAACATTTCATTTTAGTAACAGACTGATGACAGCATGTGTGAAATTTCCAACTTTACTAAATATACTGATATCAGTTTCTTTTAAACGGGTTTCACTGTAGTGGGGTTCACACTCTGCACGCTTACAGATACACTGCCTCGGAGTTGTGTGTGTGTGATGCCTAAAATATCTCTTGAGATTGCTTTGACCAAGACTATGGATCTTACATTTTAATATATAGTAAGTGTGAGATCACAGCATTACTGTAACGGTTGAGCATAGTCTTTGCCTGGTCATGGATTTGATTCCCAGGGAACACATGAACTGATAAAATGCCGACTTTGAAAGCATAAATTCATGGGACTTTAAAATATATACTCTGGCTGAATCCCAATCTGCCTTTTCCACCGTTCAAAAGTTTGGGGTCAGTAAGATTTTTTTGTTAACACTTTATTTCCATGCTCAACTTTAGACGTTCTGCCAACAATTAGAAACTTTGCAACTCAGAGTATTAGACTGTCTGCTTGACATCTGCAAACACTTGATTTTGATGCTGAATAGAAGTAACTATACGTCAACTATTGAATGCATCTTACACAATATATAGGGCAGATGTGAAGTGGGATTCAAGTCTGGACAAATCAGGGCAGAGTGGAAACAGAAACTCAGAACATTCAAAGTGGTTTGATAGGTTTACATTTACTCATTTCTCAGATGCTTAAATCAACATAATCTGTATAAAGGAATAGATTTTATCAGTATGCGTGTCTTGGGAAATGACTCATGACCTCGCCTCAGAATGACAGGAATGCTACATGAGCTGCATTTGATCTATTCTGATGATTTCGATTAGAAGATGACAATGCTGAAAATCTAAATCACAATGAGCACTTGGGCAACATTTTTCCTCGACGTTAAGGTAATTAATGAAAATGGAATTTAAAAACACTCGAAGAGACACTCCACCCAAAAATGAAAAAGTCTGTCATCATTACCTCACCCTCAAGTTTCCATAGTACTTTCAACTTTCCCCATTTACTTCCATTGCAGGAAAAAAAAAAAATATATATTATAAAAGTCAATGGGGCCCATAAACCATTTGGCTACAAATAATCTTCTTTTGTGTTCAAAAAAAATAAAGAAATTCATAAAACATCTTTCAATGAAAATGATGGATTCACAGCAATGAATTAGACTTCAAACTCGCTAGGGATTTATGCCAATGGGGTTCAGAATAAGAACTCGCCACGTCTAAACTCACATACTTGAGATGCATTCGAGGTCACTTCAGTTAGGTAGACAGCAGAGTTATGATGGGAAAGATGTTTGAGGTGTCACATGCGTGAGCTCTGACCTGCAGTTTGGCGTGTTCCTCCAGCAGACGGTCGTACTCTGTTGTGAGGTTCTCGGCCTGCTTCTTCATGGCCTTCACATCACTGTCAGACTTCTGAAGAGCTGCACACACACACACACAACCAGATTACATTAGCATCACAGAGTCAGACGTTTGACTTCCAGCAGAAAAAGTCTGGTCCTTTGTGCAAACACTGCCCACTTAGATCAAAAGAAATGTACTGCACATAGATAGATTGGGGTCAGTGAGCATTTTTAATGTTTTTCAAAGAAGTCTTTTATGCTCAACAAGATTCATTTATTCGATCGAAAATACAGTATTGTGAAATTACTACAATTTAAAATAGTTTTTTTTATTTGAACTAATTTTAAAATATAAAACTTGTCACATGATCCTTCATGAATCATTCTAATATGCTGATTGGCTGCTCAAGAAACATTTCTTATTATTATCAATGTTGAAAAACAGTTGTGCTGCTTAATATTTTTGTGTAAACACTGAATGTTTTTTTCAGGATTCTTTATGAGTAGTAAGTTAATTGGGCAATCTTTTGTAATATTATAAAAGTCTAAGTCACATTTGATCAATTTAATGCATCCTTGATAAATAAAATTATTAATTTGTTTAGAAACAACATTACTGACCCCAAATGAATGGAAGTGTATAATACGATACATTTTATTTACATGATATTTAGAAGGCAGGTTGATCTAAAATCTGTAACTAAATTAATAAAATGACTTTGTTGCAAGCTCTCCGACAGCTTTTTGTGCACTACCCTCAAAATGTGCTTTGGCACGAGACGACCCCATCACCCTATGGAGAACTCATTAGGAGGTCATCAAAGGGTCATGAACCCCAAAGCACAGTCTAAATACAGTGTAGATGTGGAAGGATGCATGGGAATCAAGCTTACTAAGCCCATTTCCTCAGTGAGGAGGAGTCTTGTTCAGCAACAGTCATCTTGAGTGGTTCACTGCAGGGTCACCGGAGGGGCCAAATCATTTTTCTAAACTATGAATTATTTAGATTTACTCTGTACCCACAATGGGCAACGTGATATCAATACTGAAGCCAACTATGCTATCGTTTGAGGTCAGAGCGATTTTTTTAAAAGAAACTAATACCTTAATTCAGCAAAAGTGACCCTAAAGATATTAATAATCTGAACATGATTTAAACTAAACCTGATGGATGAATAACTATATTGATACTAATAACCTCCATAAAGAAATTTGTTAATTTGCCAAACTTCAGGCTATTTATGCTCAACAAGCGACTTGATGCTTTAAAATAGAGTTATTTGCTTACATATGTAAACATCAGTGGGCTTAACATAGCGGTTCAGTGTGCGAGTGAATCAGAACCATTTAGTACCTTTCTTAGTTCCGTCGAGTTCATCCTTCAGTTTCCTGACCTCTTCTGTCAGGTTTTTCTTATCTTCCCCCACACCACCCTTGGCCTTCCCACCCACCTCAGGCACTTCAACGCCCGCTTGCCGCAGTTTCTGTTGGAAAAACAGACAGTCTTCACGTTAGTCATTTCATGTAATAATCAGCTATTTCTCAATTGTTCCCTGATAATTTTTAATCATTATGTGATGAAACGGTTCATGTCAACACAAGGGGTTTTCAAAATGTATAGTTCTAGGAACTAACCAACAGGGTGGTTCCCAGAGAATTAAATGTCTCATTCACACCCACAGTAGGAACTCTGAAGCGACGTAACGCTACGTTCACACCACACGCGACAAAGTGGCACGATACCCATATTTTCAATGGAGGGCGGGCGATTTCCAGCGATATGAGCGACAGTGACTGTTGGCGACCGGATGGGGCGTTCCAGCGATGTGATAAAGATCTGTTTTGAACTTTTTGCAAATTACACCCAATACACTGATTTCATGCAGCCGCCATTTTGAAATGGCTTCGGTGGGAAGAAAACCGGAAGTGTCGCCTTTAATCATGGGAGAGCCGCGAATGCGTTGGCATATTGTTGTGTTTAATGTAGAAATTTGTTATTCTAAAAATGTACATACTTTTCTTTCATACTTTAGACTATATACAATGAAATTTATATATATATATATATATATACACACACTCACAAACATTACTAGGCAACCAGAAGTGGGACCGCCCACTAGCGACATCACCGCCAGCCACTGGCGACAGCAACAAAGTCGCTTGTAGTGTGACTGCAGCTTAAGCCGTGATTGTTATTGTGACTTTAATTTTGACGGCGCTGAGAATGCCAGAGCCTGACCACACAGTAAACACACAGTGCTCCCATTCAAAGTCTTCATTAGATAATGATCTGTTTAACAGTCCTGTCTAATACGTTACAAATAGAACTATAAAGTAAACGGCTTGTGAAAAAGAATTAGCGTTTTCCGTGTTGTCGATGACCAATGTCACTAACTGAGTAGAAATACATAATGATGTTTCGCTTGGTCTCCTCAAAGTTGTGTTGGATTTTCTCCTCAGCATAAAGGTTGAGAGGTCCATCTATCATTTTTTCCATGTTTATAGAGTTGGTTAGTGGAGTAAATAAATAGGTTATAATCTGTGTACACAAAAAATGGTGCATGCCCGTTACGCGTGCGTTTGACCAATCAGCGTACAGTCACGTGACTGGTAGTTCCTATTGTGCTGGGTTAGACCCTATTGTGAAGTAGTACCTAATGTAGTTCCCCCAAAAGCCGTCCCTGGAACTAAAAACGTGTGAACACACCAAAAACCGGGTACTTCCACCATTAATTCAAGGAACTATGAACAGATTTCTCCTGTGCGAAAGCACCTATACTGTCATAATCAAACCTGTTTCATTCCATAATCACGTTATATTGTGCAATTTGCAAGTTGCCTGAAAAACAGACAAAATGAGTTGCAACCTGTTTTCTGATAAACATAAGGACAGGAATTTAGCAGTAAGACTTCCAAAACATTTCACAGAAAGACCAATCATCTGTCCTGTTGACTCAACTTTTAATGGGACAAATGACAAGTCTCACAGGCCATCCATTAACATAAGTTACGAAGAGAACAAGTGCTCTATTTTCTATGGATTGCAATCAAGTTAAATTTTGGTTTATAAATGATCTCCATCTGTGTGATCATCTTAGGAGATTCAGTTAGTGAGTAACCATCAGATGTTGCTGTTCACATCTGACCTGCCATTCCTGCTACAAACAGAAAACATTCTCTAAAAAGATTTTAGCCTGTAGACTCAAAACACCAGAAAGCTACACGATAAATAGACTGATCGAATCAAACCACATAAGCAGTTATATACAAAACCCCATCTGATAGCAAAATCAAATGTAAATAGTAGTAATAAAATAACTTTATGGTAATTATCTACCAACAGTACACAACATCTACCAAGAGTACATAACATCTTTTTTTTAAGCGTGTGTGCTAAATGATAGGCCTTGGCTTTCATTATTTAGAGATTATTCTTGTTTGTTTTATTGATTGAGGCAGTAGGTAAGTTTGGACTTTAATAATAGTGGCCAGCTTACTGCATAGTGCGAAGTGCACACTTAAATACTATTTTTATTTAAACAGTAAAAGATTAAGCATTATGTATCACATGACCTCACCACTTCGCATGTAGCATCCTATTATTATCTCATACAAAAAGTAAGGAAACCACAGCAGATATTCTGGTTTACAGTGGAAATCAGTTGGAAAAGGTTAAGATGAGTGCAATGCATTGTGGGATACAGCCACGTGTCATATACTGCACATTTGGACAAAAATAGCAAGACATCGTCAATTTTTCTGTTTTCCAAGGAAGAGAAAGTGTAAATGCTAAATGTACTGTATATATCTGCTAAAATTTTATTTTGACTAAACACCACAAAATTTGACAATTTGATTTCAAGAAGTCAATAATAAACACGAACTGTCTGAAACTTCAATAATAATCAAAGATGCTTACAGACTCTTGTTCTGCTTACAAATTAACACATAATGACGAGGAGCATTCTTGTAAGATTGTCAATGTCATGAAAGTTTCTCATATGTGAAATGAGTCTCTGTACATGTTCCACAAACCATTAAAACCTGACTGAGTGAATATTTTAATGCTAAACCGCTCAAGTTTGGCAGCCCAAGGCACATTGACATTGTGAAATGACCCCTTGTAAAGTGAGCTGGACAAGGGTACAAACCCAGGGGAGTGTTTTAAATCATGTCGCACAGGAGAAAGTTGTTTTCTGGCCCCAGGGAATGACTAAATCTGGGTCAGATGTATTTGAATGACGTTTCCTGCAGATATATTAAATGTAGTTGAAATAAAATTGAAGTACAAACACGAAGCTGAAAAGACAACGCTTAAATTGGATGTGGAGGAGAATGGTGTAAGTTGCAAGCTGTGTTGACCCCTTAATCTAGGAAATTAGCAACATTGGTGGCCATTAACTGCAGTCAGAAACTCATTGCTTGTGTTCGCAGTCATGCACACAGTTCAAAGTGATGTGATTTTCAGGCAAAAACATCCTTCACATCAGTTTATGGACTTTCAAAAACAACCTAGGAGGAAGGTCTCATTTTTTAAGTTTCGTTCCAAGCTGTTCGCATATACAGCGCCTTTAAAACCTTGATTAACATTATAAGCGGATTTGCTGAAAAGTAAAATGCACAGTCAGTGTAGAATATGATCCACTGCAACCGCCAAACCCTCATGAAAATGATCAGTGCTTCATTACCGAAGCCGAGTCGTCTTGGCTAATTGCATTATGAATTATTACAAAACTACTTCACGTAACTAATAGCTGCAATATAACTTCATTTTATGAAGCAGAATCATGCAAAATTCATGATCTTATTCTCAGTTGATTAAATGTGAGAGTGCTTTAACACCTGCTTGGGGACAGAGATGGAGGATGGATTGACCCTGGACAGAGATCAGAGATCAATACAGGACCTTTGCTGTATCGTCACGTGCTGTTCTCACCTCTTCCCATTAGCATTTAGACATGGCTTATGCACTCGTGTCAAATAATAATAACTGCAGCAAAATGGATCACAGAGGCCGGTGAGGTCATCTCACCCCGTTCAAGAACACGCATCCTGCCCAGACACTTCCAAATCACAAAGAGATTTACAGGCCTCATTCTGCTAGAGTCAAACTTCATTTACTAAATTGAAATATTCCACCATCTGTCATTTAGTATGGCTTGTGCTCTTGTTTATGGTGCGCACTGTCCATGTGTATGACGATAACGCGCATGTTCCACGCTTCTGCATGCAAAGATCAAAGCGGTGACCTACTGCACGTCAGCACTGTAACTGATCTATCCCAGCATTCTCCACGCTCAGGCAACTACATACTAACTAACTGCATGTGCTAAAGACAATAACAGCATGTGATCACTGTATCTAGGGCTTTAATAACTAACCAGACATGCATATCCAGGAAATTGCAGTGTTTGCAAATGGCATACCACATTCCAACTGCTTTTTAGCCATTGTTATGACCGTCGGTGCACGTGTTTGTTTCTCTTGGCTACAAGAATCAAAAGGCATGGACACGGTGAAGTGTCAGTGGCTAAATATATGCAAGGAAGACCAGATCAATGTAGATGAAATAACTTAAAAAATATTAAAAAGTAATTAGTAAGTTGAACAGCAAGTTGAATTTGAAAAGACTACTAAAAATGATAAAAGAAAATAACAAATTTACTAAAAAACATTTTAAATAAAATAGAAATTGAAAAAATATAAAAGCTAATTCAAAATAAAATTAATAAATAATTTTAAATAATTAAAATAAATACTTATAATAGTATATAAATAACACAACTATTAATAATTGCATGCACGAAATGAAGTGTAACGCTGTTAATTTTTGTTTTTAAATGATACTACTTAGTGACTTAACTTTGGCATTCCTAAAATTTTAAAACTAAAAATAAATACAAATTAAATCAAGTTCAACAAATTAAAAGAAAACCTAAACTAATAATTATAGAGAAAACTAAACCAGAAATAATAATTAAATTAATAATTTAAAATTATAATAAACACTGTTAAACGTGCTATGAAGGCTAATGGTACATTTTTCAAACTTAAATCTACTTAAAAAGTATAACACTTACAAATCTACTTCACTGTAATACGTGAACTGAGCCCGTTAACCATTTCAGGCTGGATTACCAACAGAAGCTTAATACTCCGGTTAAGAGATTTCGAACAAACCCCACAATGCTCGAGAAATATTAATATAGTGTTATAAGAATGATTAGTTATTGAAATGCAGCCATGCCAAAGTTTGATGATGTCAAAGCCGCCACAAGCGAACGAGTGTCATCGGTGGTTCTCTGACAGCGTCCTGTTTTATGCAGAGTCTGAACCTCATTTATATTCTACTCTAAAGGCACAGAATAACACTTGGTACTTTCTCCTTCCACCGAATTCGAAAAGGCCAGCCAATGTGGAAGAGATCTAATGAACTGTTCCCCTCCACCTTGTTTGTGCTGCTAGTTATTTTACAGACGTTAACTATACAAATTGGTTGGCAGCTCCCTTGAATTTCCCTGGAAGTCCGTCAGACGCAAATTAGTTTAAGTGCTCAAGGGCACAATGGTGAAAGCTTATCGTCACCTATAACCTTTTAGCTACTAAACCAGAAATAGGAAATAGATATAAGAAATAGGATATATATGCACTACACTATGACTTCTTCACCAGTAAAGTCAAAATATTTTCATCTATGTATATATATATCCTATTTCTTATATTTCCTAAATATATTCCAACCCAATTTTTGAAAAAAATAACATTGTAACTAGGGCTGTCAAATGATTAATTAAAAGTTTTTGTTTACATAATATATGTGGGTGCACTGTGTATAATTATTTTGTATATATATAAATACACACACATGCATGTATATTTAAGAAAAAAAATATAATTTGTATTTAAAATATTTATATTTATATATAATATAAATTATATATAAATCTATATACAGTATAAACATGAAAATATTTCTTAAATATATACAAGCATGTGTGTGTATTTATATTTATAAAATAATTATACACAGTGCACCCGCATATATATTATGTAAACAAAAACTTTTATTTTGGATGTGATTAATCACGATTAATCATTTGACAGCCCTAATTGTAACTAAAAATATTTTTATAACATCTATTCTGACCATAAATACATAAAGAGGTAAATACACTGCTATTTAAAATTTTGGGGCCAGAAATTAACACTTTACTTCATGGACACATTCAAAAATAAGCTTAAGATTTGCCACCATAGGAATAAATTATATTTTAAAATATCTTCAAATGCAGAAAACAGTCTGATTCTAATTCTAGACATAATGTGAAACACTGCCATCTAGAGGAAAATGCAAAGTCTGCAGCACTATGATCTCGATATTGACAGTGTCTCTGAGGACTGAGAGATGGAGAACACCTAACAAGAGCATCATATCATTTCTAATGAAGTGCATGTGGAATTTTAAATAAAGCACAAACAGATTAGCAGTCATTAAAGGAACAATTCATCTCAAAATTACAATTCTGTCATTTCTTTTTTGAATTGAAGGACTAGAGTATTTTACCAACTTCTTTTGTGTTAGTCATAGACATTTAGTCATAGACAACCACATGAGGATGAGAAAACGATAACAGAATTTTTTATTTTTGGGTGAACGGTTCCTTAATATAGCACATTCATCCTGGTAGTTACACCATTGGTCATTAACCATGTACCAGGTAAAGGTCACCACACCTTGGAAGCCTTTGGGGTCATGAAAAAGCTTTAGTGGACTGGCACTGAATACACAATTCACTCTCTCTTACCTCCTGCAGTTTCTCATTTTCCTCCATGTACTTCTTCGCAGCATCGTTTGCTCCCTCCGCCTGCTTTTTAAAGGCTTCATTAGAGGCCATCAGTGTAGCCTGCTGAGACAGCAGTGTGGCCAGACGTCTCAACAGCCTGGAGGGAAAACAACAACATCAACTCAGACACAAGTGGATTTACTAAACAGTCATTGTGTATCTGATCATTACGGCTCACCGCTGCAGCCCACACTGCATTTCACTGACACAGATTTTGGCATAATTAGTAGTGCTGGCAAAGGCAAGAATCTCTATTACTATTATTTGAACAAACCCCCAAATCTAAACATTGAACTTCATTGCGTAACTCGTCTCACCCATTTGTGCTTGGACATTTGCAGCTTGTTTAGGATAATTTTCACTTGCCAGAAAAAAAAATCCCAGATATGGACCTTTGCCATACCAAGAGACCAGAATATCATACAGATTTAGAGCTGAACGCTTCCTTTTGACCACATAGACCCATCAACAGCAAGGCGATCCTTTGGTTTACAAATACTACTTTCCCCTCGGTTTCGCAGAAAAGTATAAAAACTAGTCCCAGATTAAGGTTCACATTATTATATCAATGTTTTTCTCCAAAACACATTGGCCACAATTATTTTAATATTTTTTGCAATCTCCTTTTGACAACATAACAGCTCTGAGTTTTCCCCTATAATGCCTGATGAGTTTGGAGAACACCTGACAAGAGATCAGAGACCATTCCTCCATACAGAATCTCTCCAGATCCTGCAGATTCCCAGATCCAGCTCTTTATTTGCTGCCAAAACAATGATTTCATAATGTGATTGAATTTCAGAGTATGAGTACTTTGGCACACACATAACTACATTTGAATAACACATGGCTCATTTTAACATGCAAATCTAAAAGAGAGGAGTCAATGCTGAGTAGCCTAGCCTGTATGACATTTCTATGGACTGAAGGAAATGTCATAACATCAGTCCACTTCAGGACAAATGTTCAATCCAAAATCAGAGATTGGGTTACTAATCATCAGTCCTAACACATGTGTAAACACTTCTAGGCTGGCAGCACGACAAAAGTGGGTCCAACTTTATATTAGGTGTCTTTAACTACTAGTATGTATTAACATTTGAAGAGGTCAGATGCAAAAGCCTCTAAATGCCATTTGAAATTTTCTTCTTTAGTGATGATTTTTTATCAAACTTGCATATTTTATTTCATTAATTTCACTTAAATAACAATTAATAGGTAATTATCATTGCCATTTAAGTGAAATTACTGAACTTAAATATACAAGTTTGATAAAAATCATCATTAAAGAAGAAAATTTCAAATGGCATTTAGAGGCTTTTGCATCTGAACTCTTCATTTAAACTAATTATTTGATACAATGCACTTATTGTGATTTTACATTGTACTTATATTTACAAAAAAATCCTACATGTAATTACAGCTGTAATTAATTTCTCTATAATTACACTGTTGACCCTTCCCTTCCCTTACACCATAACCCAACCTTAAACCTCCCCATACCATCAAACCAGTCACTAACCTTGCCCATATCCCACCTCAATAGCAGCAAGTGTTTAACATTACTACATGAACACAAAAAGTACATTGTACTTTTTTTTTTGTTGTTGATGCAAGTAGTAGTTAAGGACATATGAAGTGTGATCAAAATGACATAAACAAATGAGTCACTTGACCATAGTCAAATATCAAATGGTTTTTGCCAACCTAAAGCCAGTGTATACATTTTGGCTATTCTCCTCACCAAACATGGTCAGTCTTCTAAAATTACAATTTCATAAAACCAGATGAGCTGAGAGATGCAAGCTGATGACATCTGAACCGTGTGCTTGAATGCAGAGGCTAAAGGCGGCATGCATTGCATTCATGTCAATGTCCACATGTGTAAGGTTTTGTAAAAGCTGTTGTGACCATAATGCAGATTGGTTTAACCATGGAAAGACACAACTTGCATAAATGCAAGAGAAGCCCACACCTTAGTCAAATGCTCTGCATGAGGTAACAAAGGTGATCTGAGGTGACCTGCATTCACTTTAACCTATTCTGTGCTTTAAAAATTATTATTGGCCAAATATGAGGCATACAAGTAATCCATTAGTGTACATGCTTATACAGTACAGACATGTTAACTCAAATGCAAACAAAACAATTATATATGAAGAGTTCAGATGCAAAAGCCTCTAAATGCCATTTGAAATTTTCTTCTAGAATGATAATTTTTATCAAGCTTGTATATTTAAGTTCAATGATTTCACTTAAATGGCAATGATAATTACCTATTAATTGTTATTTAAGTGAAATTACTGAACTTAAATATACAAGTTTGATAAAAATCATCATTAAAGAAGAAAATTTCAAATGGCATTTAGAGGCTTTTGCATCTGAACTCTTCATATATACATATATATATATATATATAATTTCTATATTATATATACAAAGACAATATATATTGAACGCAGTTGTATTTTAATCCTGCAAACATTTTCTTCTTGCTTTACAAATATGGAAATATACAAATTGTCAGGTACAAGTGGGATATGACAAATAAACTTAATTCAATATGGTAGAACTTTATTTTACAGTCCTGTTCCCCATGTGCATACTATGTACTCATTACAATAATTACAATAACTAGTAATCACCCTGAACCTATACCTACACCTTACCCCTGTAGTTACCTTATATTACCAAGTAAGGACATCAAAGTACACGTACTGCACAAAAAATTGCAACCTTCAATATCTATTATCTGAAAACTAGTTATTTTTGCAGTGTTTTTTCCGTCGTGTTGCATTAATCACAGAACAGCGATTATTTTCCACCATACATTGGAAATGTGTGGCGCCTACTGCATCATAACACGCCTGAATCACATGTCAAACTGTCATGCGCCGCTTCAATCACCTTTGTGGCATCTGAGCGTTTGCTGCCAAGGTGGAAGAGGCCCATTTTGTAACAGGAGTCATGGCCTTTCGGCCAGTGAGAATGCAATGAACTCTGGCTAAATATAATACCCGTCACCAGTTGCTTGATCACATGTCCTGCAGCTGTCCGTGTGACTACAAAAACGACACTCAAGCCCAGCAGTCAGGGGAAGTAGTATCGCTAATGAATGTAGTAGTCATCCAGCAGGATATAAATAACATGCCATTCAGAGAAAATATGGTGAAACCCCTGTAAGGAAAAACTATGCGGAGCTGGGAGACTCTTAAACGTTGCGTATAGTGCGCAACAACGAACCGGCCAATTGGGCTGCGAGAAGTTAAGTACACATGGATGAGGTTTGTGAATGGAAACAGTGTGGGGGACCCCTAACCGGCTCAACATAAGATTCTTTCCATGTCTACTGTAATATAGCGACGTATTCTGCTCTCTGTCTGCCTCACACGTAGACAACTCACTTTTCATAACTAAATAAAGACACTGTCTCCAATAAGGTGGAGATGCAAGATAAATCTGTGCTAGTAAAATTAGTAAGCTTACCGCCATGACAGGGGAGTATTTTATGCAAACAGAACATTATTGCCTTGGCATTTTCACTTTCAGAGTGGAGAAATAAGCAAAGCAGGCCAGGAGTTAATGGTAGGTACTACATGCTAAAATAATGGTTTTGGTTAGATTGACTACTGAACTATAGCAAACTTGCAGAAATCATACACATTAAGAGCGTGAAATAATATTTTGTATGACTTTATATGACCTTTTACAGACCTTTGGAGCATTAGCAGTTTCTCATGTCTCTTAACTAACTTTAAGGGGGTCATATTGCATTATGCATTATCAGATCTTTATAATGTGTTTCTATTGGTTAGCTTATGAAGTTTGCTAAGTTTTTTTGCATAAATATGCCTTAATATTTGTGAAAATTTAATTTTTCATTCATAAACACTTAGGTATTCTAACTGAACATGTGTTTTGCCATAAGTAATCTATGTGTCTTGAATGTCCTTGAGTCAGTGAATGGTTTTATTAAGTGCCAGATGAGGTCAGCAGTGCTGGGTTTGGCTACATTGACAGCGGAGAAAAATTTAGCAAGTTGAGGACAAAACCTACTGAAAGCAACCAGTAGTTGCACACCCAGGGTCCTAAATTAACCCTTGGCAAGTGCTTAATGAGAGTAAAAAAAAGGTGTTTGGAGAGTAAATATATTATTTTCCAGCTGGCTGGTAACTTTAGTAGGGACTGTAACATAACACGGTCAAAATCAAACAACTTGCACATCTTTTTTTGAATACTCCTCTGGCACAAAACGTGCAGAACCCAAAGACCCTGTTCTGAAAGGGTGATGTTCTGTTTAAAAGCTTGTCCAGGAAATCTGTTGGGAGCCATCAACTAAAATAAAGCCAGGCCGTGTAACTGATCGTGTTCAGGAAACCAAAGCGAGACATTACATGTTAAGGTGGGTAAAATACAGAAGTGGGAGAGACCTGCGGGAGCGAGTGTAAAAGAAAGCGAGGGAGAGAAAAAACACTCACAAACACAGGAGAAGAGCGAAGCCGGCGATGTATTCGTTCCTCTGGGCCCTGAACAGCTTCATGTGAATGTGCTCGATGGCCACAGGGTTGTTGCTCAGATCCACTTTCTCTGCCACACTGTATTTTCTCACTTCTCTAAATGCATCTGTAGAGGCAGAAACATAAACTTTGTTTTCTATTTTTCATTCAAAAATCTAGTTCATTCCATGCAAAAGTGAAAGAGAGAATTTGCACAAATGTAATGTTTGTAGGGCTGTCAAAATGTACACATTACCGATGAAATGTTTTTATTAGGGCTGTCTATATATATATATATATATATATAATATACACACATATATGTATATTTAAGAAAAAATATTATTTATATGTAGAATATTTATAAATAATATAAATTTCATGTAAATTTATATACAGTATATATATGAAAATATTTCTTAAATATATACAAGCATGTGTGTATTTATATATATATATAAAATTATTATACACAGTGCACCCACATATATTATGTAAAGACAAACTTTTATTTTGACAGCCCTAGTTTTTAATTTATTATTGCATATGCTCAATTCATTTAAATTGCCAAATTTAGTTTTTATGTTTCTGAAAGAATTCTCTTATGCTCACCAAGGCTGCATTAATTTAATAAAAAAAAAAAACAAGATAAATACATTTTTACAATATTATTAAAATTTATAATAACCCTTTTCTATTTGAATACATTTAAATATTTGAATTTATTTAATTTATTCCTGTGATGTCAAAGCTGAATTTACTCCAATCTTCAGTGATCCTTCAGAAATAATTCTAATACATTTCATATTATTATTATTAATCTTGAATACAGTTGTGCGTGTGTGTGTATACATTACTTTTGAAAAGTACTGTATGTTAATCATCGGTTATGACAAATTTTTTCATGCTTTCATATTTTCAAATACCATTTTTTATATAATGTGTATAATGTACAAAATCTTTAACCCTGATAAGCTGCTGAATACTAAATAAGGATTAATATATTATAAAGGATAAAATGATTTAAGGATTAAATGTTTTTTAATATAAAGGAAATATAATATTATATATTTTATAAAACTATAAGTAATTGCGGTCAGTCATATGCTAATGAGCATATTATGGCGTAGATACAGATATTATTTCTGAATGACCTGCTTTTGTAACTTAGTTGTAAAAAATGGTCTGTGTGGACTGGAGACGGCGCGAATAGTATTTTTAATGATACATCCTCTTTAAAATCATACGGACTTCATTGCCGTGTGTTTGGTGTATGTACATTTATGCAGCTAAGTTTGAGGAAGACTGCTTAATGGGTACAATGCGGTAAGGTGTGTTCAAGCTCACCTACGAGCAGAAAGACAAGGATACAAATGATGACGATGAAGGCAGTGTTTCCATATGTCGCAATGACAGTGACCAGGCGAGACTTGAAAATTTTGCTCCATCTACAAAGGCAATGAAAGAGATAAAACCTTAATAAACAAAGGGCAAAAAGGCACATAAGATAACACTGATCTCTCAACAAGTCCAAAGAACATCAACAAATGTCTTTGAGAATATATGCGACTCCTGAAAAAGACAATAAATGCTTCTAAAAGTGTTTCTTTGTGATTCAAGGAAAATGTTGTTTACCAAGAGCCCCAACCAAACAACCTTTAAACTGATTGGAAGATCATGTGAATGCTCTCAGATTAAGAAATAACTCCCTCACAAGACCTTTTTTTTTTAAATAAAAGCATTGCACAGAATTTAATTATCTTGGTAGTGCTGGAATCAAAAACTAAATGCTCAGAGTAATTCACTTTTTAGGGCTTTAGCACAACAACATTATTTCGCAACAAATGGACACATTTCAGTACTGGCAATATACTCTTTTAGGCTAAAGATCACAAGCTCTTTCCTGGACAGTGGCCAGTGTTAAAGAAAATGGATTAAGATTACTACGAGAACCATGTGGACTTTTAACCTAACATGCATTTCATTAACACATGAAACTCACCGTTTTGGGGAGATGAACGGGACACATAGTAGTAGTATCGCAAATACCTCGGCATATAGAAATGTAGCCACGGCAGTCCATTGAAGACTCATGACGGCTACCTGCAAGTCTGTGAGGACATATCAGAAGTGATCAGTCTATCTGATTAAATGGACATCAATTACCAGGCCCTGTGAACATAATTTAGCATAAAGCATGTGATCGTTTCACATGCTTTAGTTTCACAGACAAGGCTTACTGGTAAACTAGTCCCAGATTAAAATGCATGTTTGAAGTGTTTTAACTGAAAGCTTAAAAGTCAGCGCCATTGTTTGGTCTCAAGATGCACATCAGTAATGTTTTTTTTTCTAAGGTACGATTATAAAAAGGTACTTAATTGAAATAAGGTCTGTGAAACCAGGCCTATATGTACTACGTCTGAACGAAATCCTTGGAGTAAATTAAACTCATACTATTACTCACAAACTCAGATAATTGAAAATTATTTTATTATGATGAAAAAAAATATATAGAGAGACACTCAAGACCTCAGGTGAAGCTCATAAAAACATCAAAGTGATACAACAGCACCATCTTATGTCTACAACAGAGAACCACAGACACATCTAAGAGACATATTTGAGGCTATCTGAGGTATTTACAGATTTGGACATGATCAAAAACCAATGCATGTCAAACACAAGGAAAAACTTCTTAGTTTTGTAGTAAATCATTCAAACTCACTTGCTCATAGAGAGCAGGTTCGCTCATTAAACAGAAGAAAGCATGCCAAACCTGGTTTATTTAGAAAATAATTAATAATAGATTAGAATTTAAAAGCAGAAAATCATAATTTCACACGTAAATTGTTTTATAATCAAGGGAGAAATAAACATTTATTGACAGATCTTATCATATATAAAATGAAAAACGAATTAAGTTACAAATGTATGCTAGTCAAGAACTGCTTCGACTGACAACAAAAGAGGGAAAATAAGACGTTATACTACTAGATACAAATAGAAATAGCTTATATCAGCAAAAAAAAAAAGTGTGAATAGTAGGAATACATATCTCACCAACTTACAGGCTACATAAACATGCCTCTGTTGAGCAATATAAGAAAATCCGCTTTGTTATTTGTGGTACACACGTATTATTCGCTTTCATGAGAGCTCTGATTTGACTTAAAAGAAATTAAATGAATAACTGTATTAAAACTTACAGAATGTGAAGTAAAATCAGTAAAATTCGCAGAAAGGCCTGCAGGAATCTGTCAAAACTTCTGCTGCACCCTGACTCCACTTCACACTAATGTACTTCCGGCATACGTGCCAACTCACTCTACGACATGACAACTTCCTGTGTCAAAGCCGGGGAAATGCTAGTGTAAAAGTCTCTGTATAATAAAAAAAAATAAAACAATAAAATACAATAAGATATATATTAAATAAACTGCTATAACAAATCAATTTCAAAAAGTTTAATTCACTCAAATGATATCTTTAAAAAGTAAACTGTTGTGGTGAAAGATGACAGATTCTTGCCAGATTCAAAGATCATATCAGGTGAAAAATGTGGGGAAAATTAGACCCGGGATTTTGGTGTTAAACCCTCTCAAGCTAACAATAATATACCATCATTTTGTATTATCAACAAGGCAAATCACATTCAAAACCATGTTTATTCCAAACACAAATACAACAATAATATTGATTATTCTTCTGAAATGGTTAAACATTTAGTTTAATTTTAGGTTCCCTTACTTGGATTGTGAAATAAGGCAAATGTATGTTTACAAGGTTGAAATATAACCACTGCAATTCAGTCACATTTTACTGCTGCTCACCCAATAATAACAAATAATAATACAGAGTAGCTAGATATTTTTTTTAAAAAAAAAAAAAAACTTGTAGGCTACAGCACAGTGATATGCATACACTTAGATCAGAAATGCAGTTTTTGTACTCTAAAAGAGGTGAATTAAAGTTCACTGGCATATATAACAAGATAAAATTACATGAAATAGAGTTTCTGAAGTGCATGTGGAGAAAGAAAAGTTTGCTTGATTATTTAAAGTATATTTGAAACTCTGTCACACACATAGCACAGCTGAAATGTTAAAGGCACTAACACAAAAGGCATCAATGAACACAATATGGCAAAACAGTTATTAGTAAAAAAGCAAAACTACAATAAAAGAATTAAGAAATTATTTCATAATAAGGCAGCAGCTTCAGAATTCCCAATTTGATGAGGCCATTGAAAAAAAGTACTTTTCCAGTTCCAGCATACAAAACGTAAAAATTCCCTGTTTACATTAATATTACACCTTCAATCAATGACAATATCAAATGCATATCATTATGATAGTGAGGTATCATAAATATGAGGTTTCATAAAGTCAGTCAGCCCAGTTTAGTTTAGAAGTATGATCACTTGTAACGGAGTTAATATTGTGACTGAGCATAATAAGGCAATTGAAACATAACTCTCATCTTTCCTTTGGAAACAAGGGCAGGAGTGTAGGACCTGTAGGCACAATGTGTTCTCATCATCTCTTCATGTTTTTGTCAATTTCCTTTCTTCTTTCCTGGGGCCTTGGGACTAATGGGAACAGAAAAGAGAGAGAAAGGACACATTAATTGTACGGTTAACAAAGAGAGACAGAGAAATAATATGGTGTTATATGTTTTATCCTCTATATGTGGACTTTAACATTTTACATTTTTATCTGTGTTTGCTGGTTTTTATACATGCAATGCATTCTTGAATATCATACAGCCATGCCGAAGTAAAACACCCAGCGATCTCACATCCAATCTGAGTTGTGCCCCTATTTTAAATGTATAGGAATTTTCATTACTAGACTGAAAGTATGTGGACACACCTTTGTAATAAACCGATTGACTGTTTGAACTACGCCCATTACTAACAGGAACAAAGACTTGATAAAAGTACAATACAATAATTATGGTGCAGTTTGTTCCATCATGACAATATGCCGAATGCAAATCCATAAAGATGAACGCTTCAAGGGAGTACCGACTGCCTGATTGGAAATTTCCATTGACTGACAATGGAAATTAAAAGTTCAATATATGGATGGTGTTCAAGTTCTCATACTTTGGCCATGCAGGTTATATATATATATATATATATATATATGGGGTGTATTAACATTATTATGCAACAGATCAGTTAGTGGTTAGTGTGCAGAAATGAAGCAAAATCACCTCTGATAACCCGTTCTGTTTACATTTTTTTTATGTCAGGATGTGCCCTAAAAAGCCTGTTTCATGCTTTAAAAAATGATTTTAAACAGTTTTTACAAGTAAAGTGGGGGAAAAAAATAATATGATGTATGAAAAGCTCAATCAGCAAATCATGAGAAGTCCATGATTAACCAATACTCATTTATGAACTATTAATATTTATGCATCAGGGTAGCATTTGTTTTACTGCAAATTAAATATTACACAATTATTTTAGCACAAAGATGGCTAAACTACAGAAATGAGAATCACTAAAAAACACATGGGAATAAGAAAGTAACTAAACCTGAAAATCCCCAGTGGAAAATCCAGATATATTACCTTAACTGCAGCAATAAGAGCACAGGAGAAATTGTCAGTAAACTATTGCTTTAACTAAAAAAAAAAACAATTAAAAGAATCCTACAAATAGTCTTCACATTTTTCCACGAACAAAAAAAATTGTCTTAGCTTTAATTTTCGGGTGAAATATATGTTTTCCTCTATTCACTTAAAGCAGTGGTTCACTTTTAAAAAAACTTTTGCTGATAATTTACTCACCCCCATGTCATCTAATATGTCCATGTCTTTCTTTCTTCAGTCGAAAAGAAATTAAGGTTTTAAAATGAAAACATTTCAGCATTTTTCTCCGAACGAATCTTTTCCCGAGTCAATTTTTTCATTGAATGAACCAAATATCACGAAAAAAAGATTTGTTCATTTTGATAAACGAGTTCGAACAGGAGAGTCACGAACGCACATCACAGAACAGAGCAAGGCGAGCATTTGAGCTTATAAAACTTAAACTTTGTTATTTAAAAAAAAAAAAAAAATCGCTTGATAAGACCCTTATTCATCGTCTGGAATTGTTTCAAGCCCTTTGAACAGTTTGCACTGAAACTGTCTTTTGGACCTTGAACCGTTTGGTTCCCATTGAAGTCCATTATATGGAGAAAAATCCTGTAATGTTTTCATCAAAAACCTTAATTTCTTTTCGACTGAAGAAAGAAAGACGTGGACATCTTGGATGACATGGGGGTGAGTAAATTATCAGCAAAAGTTTTTTTAAAAGTTAACAAGTCTACACTGGGATTTTACACACACGCACACACAAGACAGATACAATTTTGAAGCTCATAAGAAACAGAAACTCTATTCTCTATTCGATGTTTATTGTCTGCCTCAAGAAAGAGGCAACTATAAGAAATTAGCCAACAGGGGCTGTACTTCAACTCTTCACAGACTATTTACAATATTGATCATAGTGCCAGAGACAGGGCTTAACAGAGGCCGTCCTTGATTTATCAGCTGTAGTGATGAAATCTGTGCAGTCTTTCTGCAATGACGAGGTGTTAACAGTTGTCACAGAACAAAAATTGAACATAAATCTCAACTGGACATGTGCAACGTTATATATTTTATGCATGCGTTCGCTTTCAGCTCAAGTTCTTAAAATCAGATCTATCCACCAATGAGCCGAAAACAAATACAGTATTTTCAGTTCACATTGTGATTCACTGAAAATGCTTCCATCTTTTGTGACCCTAATTAATATTCATGATATATCTTTGTCAAACACCATCATAATAATAATCTCTCATATACAAACATGAAAGATTTACATGATTTTGTGTCATAAAATGGCTTGTAGTAAATTCTCTCATACCCAAACACACACACACAATCATATCCAAGTAGCCTAAAATATTTTACCAAACGCACACGCACACAAAATCGCTTTAGCTGCCCGAGGTCACTCTCGGCTCAGTTTCTGAAAAAGTCTCTAAAAACAATCCTCTGATGGGGTTTAAGATCTAGACTATCAACGTTAGAGCTGAAGGGAACTATAACATCACAATTTGTGAATTAAAGTCAACATAAATTGTTATTTGCAAGCCTTTTTACCATCATATTGGTTTCATCGTGAAAGCAGATATTAAATATAATGGCAAGTTATGAGGTTAATTTCTATTTCCGGTTATTGTAGTATTATTAATTACATTAACTTTAAGCATCCATTAAATTTCAACATTAACAACTGGCAAAAAGGAAAGCTATGGAAGCTTGTTTCATGTTGACTTTTTTTTCTCAGCTGTCGAACGATTAATCGCATCCAAAATAAATGTTTGTGTTTACATAATATATGTGGGTGCACTGTGTATATAATTATTTTTAATTTATACATCTATATATATATATATATATATATATATGAAGAGTTCAGATGCAAAAGCCTCTAAATGCCATTTGAAATTTTCTTCTTTAATGATGATTTTTATCAAACTTGTATATTTAAGTTCAGTGATTTCACTTAAATGGCAATGATAATTACCTATTATTTGTTTTTTAAGTGAAATTACTGAACTTAAATATACAGGTTTCATAAAAATCATCATTAAAGAAGAAAATTTCAAATGGCATTTAGAGGCTTTTGCATCTGAACTCTTCATATATATATATATATATGCTTGTATATATTTAAGAAATATTTTCATATATATATATATATACACACACACACATATACTGTAATGTATAATTTATATTATATATAAATATTTTATATATAAATAATGTTTTTTTTCTACATGCATGTGTGTGTATTTATATATATAAAAAATAATTATACACAGTGCACCCACACATATTATGTAAACACAAACTTATTTTGGATGCGATTAATTGCGATTAATTGTTTGACAGCCCTAGTTATAAAGTCAGAATTGCGAAATAAAAAGTTTTTTACGTTTTTTATTCTGTGGTGGAAACAAGCTTCCATAGAAAGCAATTTTGAGGATGGGGAAAACTTTATATTTAGAAAAACAAACAAACATTTCTTTCTTAGAAATAACGTCCACAGATAATCTGTGCACATTAAGACCACCAGCATGTAATATGGAGCTAATTCTGATTTCATGTTGACATGAAGAAAAAAAAAGTAAATTAGTGCAACTGGCATCAGCAAAGAAAGTAAACAAACACTTCTGCACCCAAAACAATGAAAAATTAAAATCTACTTTACAGCACTTAACCCAGTTCTTTTAAGCTTATATGAAATCCGACATGCATATTAAACCCTTTTAAAGAGCAACAAAAGCCTCAAACCACAACAATATATTTCCCCAATATGATCCATCACCTGTTGACCAAATTTCCACACGTGCTCTGGTGAGCATATTTCCTACTGTAAAAAACAAAAACGGAAATAAAACATTCATTTATATATATATCAGGACGTTCTCTTGAGGTGTGGGGATTTACTGAGAACAGTTTTGGCGTATTTGTAGCAAATATGTGCACAGAATTGTTTATACAATACATAACATAAGATAAACCCACAAATCTTTTTGCATCATAAAAAGGAGATATTACTTTGATATTATGTACAGTGTAAGAACTACATAGTTACCATTCAGTCACAAGTTGATTGAGAAAGGCACAGCGTTAACCAGTTGTTGGTTAAGCAAAACTAGCCTAGTCCCCCTCACAAAGAGACGCAGACATTTGCACACGCAAAGAAAACAGAAGAGCTTTCACTAAGGTGCCATTTGGTTAGAAAATGACCAGGTTAGTCAGTTTCCCGAACAGTAAAGAGCTGAAAATACCAAGGGTGGTAAAGCAAGAATCCACACGGAAGCAATGCGTTATGCGATTGTCCGTCAAATATTTTGAGTTCAAGCACATTTTAATAGCATTAATGGAGCTCACTTCCAATTAGTGCTCATTTTCAGACACGCCCTGTATAGACCATTTCACAAGATGTAAACAACACCGGTCCAGAAGCACTTCCTGTTTCAGTTTGTAACTGTTTTCTTTATTTCACTTGTAAAGAAAACATCTTAAAGACGTTTGTTTAACTTTTTGATTCAGTTTTAAATGTTCTGTTGGTTGTATTTTATCCCAGCTTTTATGTAGTGTTAAAAAACTGAAACAGGAAGTGCTTCTGGACCAGTGTTGTTTACATCTTGTGAAATGGTCTATAAGGGTGTCATCGCTTAATTCATTGATTATGGGTAAGGAGGACTTGCAGAGATTTCAAAGCTTCCCTTGATCGGATTCCTCGACTATATCAGCCCAAATCACCCAGTATGAAACCAAACTCAACACGCAGACGACAAATGCCACAATACTGCTACAGATACGAGTGAAACAAGCTCTTCGCCACTGCACAAACCAATTAGAGGTGAGGTATTGCCATGCTTTAAACACGGCAGACATTCAAACAGCTTTTCTCAACCATTATTTTTCTTTTTCTCTATTTACACGAGACAATGATTTGGGGCGAAGAACTTATAAAGTGGGTGAATCTCACAAAAAAAAAACCTGTCAAGATGATACCTGGGTGAATTTCACACCAACAATCACAATAATAGAAATTAGAGGAACTTGATCAATTATATTTTGTGTGCGGGCCATTAAGATTTCATTAGGGTTTCATAACAAATAAACGTTCCTTTTTTAAATTAGCATTAAGTGCAAAAAATACATATCATTTAAATTTATTTATTTATTTGAAAGAAAATCTAATTCATGTTGATTTTTAAATTTGAAAGTTAAATTTGCTTAAATTTCACAATGCAATCATTTGTTTTAGCACTTAAAGGAGTAGTTCACTTTAAAAAAAAAAAAAAAAAAAAAAAAAAAAAAAACTCACCCCCATGTCATCCAAGATGTCCATGTCTTTCTTTAATCAGTCGAAAAGAAATGAAGGTTTTTGATGAAAACATTCCAGGATTTTTCTCCATATAATGGACTTCAATGGGAACCAAAGGGTTCAAGGTCCAAAAGACACTTTCAATGCAAACTACAAACTGTTCAAAGGGCTTTAAACGATTCCAGACGATGAATAAGGGTCTTATCAAGCGAAACGATCACTCATTTAAAAAAAAAGTAAATAACAAAGTTTAAGTTTTATAAGCTCAAATGGCCGCCTTGCTCTGTTCTGTAATGTAATCATGTAATGTACGTAATGTCGTGACTCTCCTGTTAGAACTCGTTTATCAAAATGAACAAATCTTTTTGCGTGTCTTTTGGTTCATTCAACGAACGAAATGAACCAGTTGACTCTGGAAAAGATTTGTTCATTCATTTTGATGAATGAGTTCGAATAGGAGAATCACGAACGCGGATAACATAGAGCTTATAAAACTTAAACTTAATTTTTTTTTTTTTTTTTAATTTCGCTTGATAAGGCCCTTATTCATCATCTGGAATCGTTTAAAGCCCTTTAAACAGTTTGCAGTTTGCACTGAAACTGTCTTTTGTACCTTGAACTGTTTGGTTCCCATTGAAGTCCATTATATGGAGAAAAATCCTGCAATGTTTTCATCAAAAACCTTCATTTCTTTTCGACTGAAGAAAGAATGACATGGGCATCTTGGATGACGTGGGGGTGAGTAAATTACCAGCAAAAGTTTTTTTTTTTAAAGTGAACTACTCCTTAAATTGGCTCTTTATTTTGAAGTGAAAGTTACAGGTTTTGTGAGATTCATCCATTAGATTTCAAGTCAATCCAGCCCAACGTTCCTCTGCTTCACGTCTTCTTCCCTCGAGATCGAGCTGATCAGGAAAATGCTGTTTAAGGCAAACAGGGGAGGGAGGTGAAGATGTTGGAAAGAGTTTCAACAGATATCCCAGGTGAAGAATGCCACTGTTTGTTTTTGGTATCAAACGAAAACTGAAAACTGTGAAACCTAAGTCTACGTCTCTCTGGTTTGTGCTTTCCAAATTATTTCAATAATTAATTTGGCCTAGACGTGTCCACAGAAGCACCCAAACCCACACAGCAGCAGAGAGAAATGAGAAAGAGGAGAGAGTTAGGACTTCCACCGAGAGAGGTAAAGAGCGATTAATGGAAGGGGACACAGATAAGGTGGCTCATTTCATTTCACCAGCACTGACTTTGGAAGGAAAGCATCCAGCTCCGAGTCTCTTCCATTGCTGTGGATGGGTGAAGATGTGCTGGTGCTGGAAGTGCTGGTGTTTGGTTTGGGGAGACTGTACATATAGACGGCTCCTATGACCAATCCTGCGCCCAGCGTGAATATCACGTCCACGTGGAAGCCGAAGAGGTAGACGGACGTGATCGTGGACACGATGATGGAAAAAGAGGTGGCGAAGCCTTTGAGAATATTGTCTGCGTATTTCACGACAACAGCCACCAGGAGGCCGCCGAACGCCTGGTTGAAAATGACGACCCACACGAGGGGAGTGTATCCGAACAGGAAGCCTTTTTCGGCGATGGCGGCGCCGTCGTTCCACCACATGCCGAGGAGACCCAAAAGAGTCCCGAAGATCCCGAGCTGGATGTTTCTCATCCACACCGAGGCAGAGCTTCCCTTCAAGATCTTCTCGAAGTAAACGCCGGCGAACCCGGAGGACAAGCACGAGACGATCACGGACACCAAGCCCTTGAAGTAGTTCTGGTTGACGCTGGTCAAAGCCTCCTTCTGCTTTCCACTCTCCTGATCCACCTGGACGATCGCCACACCGGCGAACAGCAGCACTAGTGAGACCCACTGGATTTTAGACAGGCTCTTCCGCAGCATGAGCACTGAAAACAATGCTGTGGTCAAGATCTTCAGCTGATATGTGACCTGTAGAAACAAAGGGAATCTTCAAATCTACACTGATTTTACTAAGCATAACATGTTTAGGGTGAGAAACACAGGTTCATTTAGTTCACATTACCACACACACACACACAAATAAATAATTTGTGGAAAAGTCTTACCTGGAAAGTGGCTGCTGGTAAATTGGAAATGGCCACATACTGCAGGTTGTTTTGTAAAGTGTAGATGAGTGACGGAACTGCTAACTTCAGTGTGTCCGAATACTGGATGAATATGGAGTCATACAACAACCATACGAAGGACTTCACATTACCTACATTTAAAAAACAAAATGAGAAGAGAAGTGGTGTTTTTTGTTTGTAGAGATATTACAAACACTACCATTCAAAAGTTTTGTTTAATCCTGTAATTGTGGACAAATGTGGGCACAGAGGACTCAGGTGTGATCCTAATTTGTATTTATTATAAATGATATATCACTGTCTTCGATAAAGTTTTGTCTATCAATTTATGGTGTTTTTTTTATTTTGGGGGTATTTTTTTAATTTATTTACTTCAAAAAGTACCATATTTTCTATGTAAATTATGCTCTTTTTTAACTACATTAAAATATCATTCCAATAAGTTCTTAGAGCTAAAAGCTAAAGATGAAGTGACTTTGCGTGTTCTGTCACCTGGTGTCTTATTTTGGCTTATTTTAAAATGCTCTAAATTACAGTTTTTCCCATTCATTTCTATGGGTGCCCATTTTTGACCCAAATACAAGATTAAGGAGTTTTTTTTTCACCCACTTAACATTTTAGAATTGAGTAAAAAAAAAAAAGTGCGTTCAGGAGGCAAACTTAGGAAAAGTAGCCAAGTTATGTACCGCTCAGATCAAGGGAAGTATTTTTAAAAAATAAATCAAAACTATTTTTGTCCACATTTGAACAGAATACGGTTTGTTTTTGAAATACTTTTATTTTGTGATATTATTTTAATTTAAAATAACCGTTTTCTATTTGAATATGTTTTAAAATGTAATTTATTCCTGTGATGCAAAGCTGAATTTTCAGCATCATTACTCCAGTCTTCAGTGTCACATGATCCTTCAGAAATCATTCTTCTAATTTAGTGATTTGCTGCTCAAGAAACATTTCTTATTATTATCAATGTTGAAAACAGTTGCGAGAGAGAGTTGTCATTTTTGTCATATTAAACACGCGTACGGCTGCACCGTAACAGGCCACAACTCCAGTGAACGCACCTCTCTTCTGTATCACGATGATGACCAGACAGGTGAGGAATTTAAGGACTTCTGCCATCACTACGGCTGATGTGGCGAAGAAACGATCTCCCGGCAACGTCCGCACGTAGCGGATGCTGAGGATGAGCGATGCATTCTGGATCACCAGAATTGCCAAACTGATGTACTTCAACTTCTTGTTCACTACAAGAGACAAACACGAGAATATTTTAGTCAACAAAAAGCAGGTTTTACACTGAGACCTTGAAACTGGGAACGGATCTGAACACTGACGTCAGCATTTCACTTTTCTGAATGCAGCTAGTCAATGTTTTGCTTGTAATTTCAGTAACGGACACACCTATACACGTCGTCAACGTGGGCGAATGTTTGCACAATCTGGTGCCAACACCCTGCTTACAGACACTTCATTCATACACACCACTGTGTGTAGAAGCATATGCAGTTCATTGACACATTACTTGGTACCAAATGGCCAAAACTACACAAGTTTCTTACTAAAATTGGATTCAAATGTGAAAATACAAGATGAAACACAGAAATAAAGGCAAAATGGAAATGCATTAAATAAACCCTCTATGATTGTTTTCTCAGAGAGAATCACAAGAAAGCTCAAACAGGAACTGTAAAAACGTGATCCTGTTTCGCCAGTTTTCAGTTTTCTAAAGAATGACAAACATCCAGACAGACTGACATATAACACACACCGTCCGCCAAACCCTCAAACTGCTAGTTAGAACGGTTAGATTATGATACCATATGCATAAACTAACTTTAATTTTTTATGGTTTGTTCATGAAACTATATTTCTTTATTGCAGTGGACAAATGTGCAACACTCTCTGATGTAAATTGGGAGTGATTATATTTTTGTTTCTAAACAGATATTGTTTGGCTTTGTGATTTTATAATTCATGACAAACCCTGTTGTATTTTGATCTTGATTTTTCATTATTTGGCCTCTACAAGATTCTCACGCTAACTTTAACAAAAAATACTGTGTCGGTACTACCATGTTAGTGATATCAGATCAGATTGTAATGGCACTTTGCCATTTTTGAATGATTGTCATACTCATGTTCATGTACATCCTCCAAGAGACTGGTACGCTTCTGTAAGTGATAGTATCAAACAGCAATATCATTGTCCTATATTCAGATAGCATGGTCCATGTTATTTACATTTAACTTCAAACACTGCAATCAATGGTTTGTCCAAAAAACATAGTAATAATATTATAGTAGGTTGTGGTAACTATGCACTCCATGTTACATTTTCACACTTTATTGCACTTGATCTGACAGCCAAAGCAGAGTCCTTAAAAACAGGCAGGTGTTTGAATCAGAGAAATAGCATAACTGAAGATGAAAATGTTGTTGTAGTTTTACCTTCACTCTGTCTGCGGGATGATGTTTTATCCTCAGTGCTTTTATTTGGACTTTCATTGCCTGCTGCTGCCATGATCATCATCGAACATGAACTTAATTCTGCCCACAAACTCACACGATCCGCTCGATCTGTATTGATTACAGAGCTTGATGATAATTTCCCCACCGCTGCTCCATGAAACAGCTCACATATATGCGGTGAATGAGGTCGGAATAGTCAGAGGAGCTCGAGGAAAAGTGTTGACGTCCCCAAGCACACAATCACTTCCTGTAGCCGTTCGCGAGAGCCTCGACCAATCACACACGCTCACGCTCTTCTTCTTCTTCTTCTTCTTCTTCTTCTTCTTCTTCTTCCATAGACATATACACTAGATCTCACCTTGGATACGGCAGTTCATTAGAACGAATGCGTCAATAGAGCCGCCATCTTGAAACAGGGGAGCCCCTCCACTTTAATGCATCAGCGTCAATGTAGTAGACACAGGTCTAACGCAAATAAAATCACCATAAATCATCATGAATGCGATTTTTCTTGTTTTTTTGATTTGTTCCAACGGTCAGACATATTTATCATTGATTCCAGAAAGAAAAAAAAATGTATTTATTATTTTATTTTATTTTTTTTAAAAACATTCTTCCTAGTTCAGATTTCATCCGTGAACTTCATACGCTGCACAAAAGTCCGCCACCATCAATGAATTCGAAGTAAAGGCAGAGATAGCAGCGTTACCTAGCTACTTCCTATGACAACACCCCTGTTCCAAGATGGCGGCGGTTTTGACGCATGCTTAGAACCCCCAGGTGAGATCTAGTGTATATGTCTATGTTCTTCTTCTTCTTCTTCTCTCTATCGCGAACTGAACTACGGGAACGTATTAGCGCCGCCAGCGCGCAGCCTCAAATCAAATAAATGACATAAAAGTACCTCAAATATAACTATGGTATTAGCAATAGCATTGAATTCTGCAAAATCACTTCCCGTAACTGTGGGATTTTGTTTTGGGTTTTTTAACACTTTTTTTCCCTTGGAGATTTATTTTCCCTTTTCCATTACCCAAATCTGATAATTTCATAGCCATCCACAATGACTTCATTTCTATTTTGCTAAACTATCTAATACATGACTACGTGTAAAGCATGGTGTAAAAAGGAGGGGGGAAAGTACAGTCAGATACATCCTGGGTGCAGTACATAGTCTATGGGTGCAGTAAAGAAGCCATATTTGTATTTCACCACAGTGACCAGTAGGGGGCAGCAGCACCTAATAGATTCAGTCTCGACATCACAATTAAATGTATTTCCTACAGATAATCTAAATATAAATTTTGCTAAATAAAAGATCAAATAAGAGTCGAAGAATACGTTTAACTTATTAAACAATAGTTTACAAAGGTACTTGAGGTTTGTTTCAGGTGATTGATTCAGAACTAATGTGGAAAGATTGGTTCGGTCATTGCAGTAAAGCACGTGGCAGAGTTCTTCATTCTTTCACTTATCGGGAATAACTAACCTGAATGGTTTGACTGGAGACGCCTGTTCAAAAACTTGAAGTATGCACAGAAAACTATGAACGCTATTTAGATCAATCCACTAAATTGGCAGCAGTTTCTCTTTTAATTTCTAATTTGCTTGAGCAAAACAATATAAAAGACAAGACAAAAGACAGATGTTTCTTTAAATATAGATATTTCACCTCTATATTTTTTATTTATAGAATCTCATAAATTAAACATCTTGTGACAACAGCCACAGCACATTTCAATACACAAGTATTTACAGCAAATTTGTTTGCCAACCCAAGCAAAAATGGCAAGGATTTTGTTTCTCATATAATTGGCTGTATCAAAAAAAAAATACCCCAGTGTTTGCATGTGCAAATGCATTACACATTATGTTTGGAGAGGTCCCATTCACATACATTCAATTTTAAAGTCTCAAATCAAAGAATTTGAACATTTTGGACCCAAACTTTGGTCACATCAACTGTAAGGCAGATCTCTTTGGTGTGTTATAATGAAATCAAACAATTATGAAAAGCTCACTTGGCCCTTTTTAGTAAACATCACTAGTGGGTTAGTGGTTGAAGCCCTCATGACATTAGTCAAACTTTGACCTTTGGGAACTTTCAACAAAATGACACATATCTGAATGAAGCGTCCTGACGACATTCTTTACACACCAGGTATTTCACAAACAATACCAACAGAAACCAAAAGCTGCCTGGCTTTCTGTCTAGTGAATTGGTTGATTTAGAGTACAGGATCCAAAGGAATGTTCCTCTCCTCTTCTGTCGCACCTTCTTTGAGAGTGTGTGTGTTGATCAATGGGAACAGATCCACATGAGCCTGAATTATTGTTACAGCAGGCCTCCCGTCAAAAGACTGGAAAGCAGATCCAGTCTTTTTGAAACCCCTTAGAACAGGGAGAGAATATCACTGTACAGCAAAAACCTGTAAAACCAGGTATCATCGCAGTCTAACAAGCGACTGCAAGTCCACCCACTAACATTTAAGTGAGTTTGAACTTAAAACGAACACAGACTAACAAAACGAACACCGTTTGCTGCTTCTGAAACTTCGTGAACCACAGAGCGCACAAATAAATTAGTACGTGGCTGAAAAAAACATAAATAATCAGCAATAAATAAGAACGTTTCCCGCTGTTGCATTGAGCTGTGATGGCTGTAGTCGTGGGGAAAAATTCACTCATAAAGTAAAACTGCATCAATCCAGAGCTTCGAGAAGCACAGAACCCAAGTCCATATGAAACAAAAAAACCAACGTTGAAGGCAGCCAAACAAAAATAAATAAGGAAGTATCCAGAAGCCAGCAACTAGAGTTCAGTAAGTCCAGTGTCAAACGAAACAGTGTGTGTGTGAAAAGTCCTTCAGGATTTAAAGGCTTGGCTTAATATTGCTTTCCGCTCGCAAATCTCCCGTGTCCTCAGAGGTCTCCGTCATCCAAGGGTGCTGCAAAATCTGCTCCAAACTCGGCCGGTCCTCCGGCCTGTACGAGAGGCACCAGCGAATCAGAGACTGGCATTCTGAAATGAAACAAAATAAAGGTTGCCATCGTTTACTCAGACAAACCTTCTCATTGTATGGACAAAAATGCAATGGAGGTCAATGGGAACTGAAAATGTTCAAATATCTCCTTGAAACAACATGATAGAATTTTCATTTTTGGGGCGTACTATCCCTTTAAGAAAGTAGATAGGGTTGGTTGATGATTCCCGTTTGATTTAGTTTGAGGGCTCACCTTTGGAGATGCGCTTAGTGAAACTCGGAGTGGCTCGTACAATGTCGCCGTCCCGCTCGAAGGGAATGTCTCCACACACCATGTCGAACAGAAGTACGCCCAGTGACCACACAGTGAGCGGATGAGCGCTGTAACGCTGGTGGAGGATCCACTCTGGAGGGCTGTAGACTCTGGTACCTAAACAGACAGAGGGGTCATTCGTACCTGATCCACATTCATGTTATATTCCTAAATATGCATTAACCACCCCAAAGCTGCCTTACCTTCAAAGTCAGTGTAAATGGAGTCCTTCAGTAGAGCGCCAGAACCAAAGTCGATGATTTTGATGTCACCGGTGCGGGTGTCAATAAGGATGTTCTCATCTTTGATGTCCCGATGGACAATTCCCTTGGAGTGGCAGAACTGGAGGGCTTCGACGACCTGTTTGAGGAACCTGAAAAAGACAATACTCATTAGTATTGGAGTTTACTGTTAGAACTCAAAATAAGTCAAAATAAGACTTTTTCGCACCTCTGTGCAATGGGCTCCTCCAGGGCCCCACGTTCAGTGATGAAGTCAAACAGGTCCTGACAGTGTTGGGGTTTTTCAAACACAATGAGATAGCCCTGACCCGGCACCTCAAACCAGTCGAGCATCCGGATGACGCCGCGGTGACCGGGTACCGACCCTGACCCTCCACCCAGACACAGGAGGAGAGCGACCTCCATTGGGACCGCGTTCGCTTCCCCAGGCTGTGGGAGTTAAAAAGGCAATGATTATTATTGACTTTAACAGTTATATTTTCCCTGCTAAAATTCCCTCCTGCAGGTGTAAACTCCCTGAGTTATAAATGTTATTAAAAGCGGAAACTACATTTGTGGACCTATAAATGTACTTGTTGTTTTGAAACCATGTCTACCTTCTTGATTAGGTCTATGAAACTGGTTCTGACACATTAGGGAAAGCCCAATAAGTTTCCCTTTTTAGGTCGTTCCGATTCGTCACGCCTACGTCACTTTCTGTGCTCCGGTAAAAATATTAATAATGATAATAAACAGTAGAGGGCGCCGTTAATCATATTTATTATACTTCATTTTTTTTTGGTACGTAGCTTTCTACAGTCCGTAGGCTATTCAAGCAGGTCCTGACTAATTGAAAAAAAAAAAAAAACTTTTAAGGGAAATAATTCATTTATATGAAAGATTACTCACCAGTTTTGCCCACTGTTGAATTCTGTCACGGGATATTTGTTTAATAGCGACCTAAAAATCATAATATAAGTAATTTAGAATACAATATTTATGAGGGATGAAGAATTTACGTTTTTATATAATTTTTTTTTTCTATCATTTTTACCTGTTGCCCGTCTGAAATGCGTTGTCCGGAGAACACAGAACCGAACCCGCCGCTTCCCAAAAGGGTTCCCATCTTATACTGCTTCTCAAAGTGCTCTTTACCTGAAAATGAACACAATAATGTTCAAGAAACAACATAACCAGGAATGAATGGCGTCTATTCTAACTTATGGATCTGGATTAAGATAACTTTGAAATTGAAAAAGCGATTTTTTAAATTTAATTTTTGAGTACGTTACTTTAAAGCAATGTGTTAGAACAAATTCGTGTAAAATCTTTATATTTTTGTTGTTCGGTATTATAATGAACTCACCATTTTTCGCTTTGACTTCTTCCAGCTGATCCAAACGCAGGTCAACAATCCGTTTATCCAACATTTTCCGTTTTTATAAGAATAAAAATAAAAACCCAAATGATATCTTCAGCTATCACCGTCAGCCGCCTCAGCAGTGCATATCCATGTTCGTCTGTTATGATTCGTCCCTGTCTGTTTTCAATTCAGTTCAAATTCCGCCGTTTTCAGGGAGCGTCTATGTGAACTCTCCTTCAAACACTCGCACAGACAGACTGAGGATAATCTTAGTTTGTTGATGTTTTAAGTTTACATGTGTAAACACGCCCACTGTCAAAACCCGCCTAATCGCGGCCAACACGCTCGAGTGTTTTGAACTGACCAGCCAATCACAGCGCCGATACTTTTAAATAAACGAATATTAATGAGCTGTGGTTGAAATTCTCAGAATCGTCACCCCAGTTTGCCTAACGTACCGGAGAAAGAGCGCGCGCGCGTGAGATGACAGGAATATATCTGAGGGTTTTTTTAACGCGTACATTTTTAAATTATCCGAGCACTAATGCAACTCTTTCCAGTAGCATTTTTAATGAGAACCATATAATAAATATGACGCCTATTCTAAATTTTATATATATATATATATATATATATATATATATATATATATATATATATAAAATAAAATGTCTATGTTGTGTGTGTGTGTGTATTTAAAATGCTTATTTAAAAACAGTTAGTAGAGATTAATGCCAATTGAGTGTCTCACAAATAGGTAAAAAGATAATAATAATTCATAAATGCTACTGGTACTAAACGAGTAGTTAGGCTACCAGAAAAAAAAACAACAAAAAAAACGGTACGTTATACAATTCGTATGCATTTGGAAGTGAATAAATCTGAACACCAAATCCCGATAGAATTTTTAACAAAAACATTAGAATTGAATTCCCATTTGGACAGTAACCAGTAAAACGCACATGTAATTAATGATTAGCAATAGCAATGAAAAACACTATTTAATTACTAGTAATTAAAAAATCGTCAAAAATGTAAATGCTATATAATGTGGACATTGCATTGCACACATTTGCACATATAAACAGGGATGATCTTAGAGTTGATGACTTATTCTACAGCATGCTCTGTGCATGTGGGGCAGTCCCACATCAGCTATTTACAAAACCTGATGTGGTTTCACCTCCATGACAAAAAATACAGAACTTTTAATAGATAAATTATAGTGTTTGCCAATACTTTATGCAGACCTGACTTACCAGACTTTAATGTTGAGACACTTGACTGGTTGATTTCAGCCATGCATTAAAGTTGCATGCATCCACATTCACCACCAGTCAAATATTTACACACTTCATTCTTTAATAAAACTATTTTCCATATTTGAGAATGATAGTAATCATCAAAAACGACAAATTCACATAAATCCAAGACAAAAAAATCAAAACATTTTAGATAAATAGTGATATCAAAACTGACACATGAACTCTGTGAACTCAATACAGGAACTTAACGTTGTAAACTTTGTGCTCTGTCATTCTCTCAACCAACATCTTGAAGTGCACGGAAATAGTTCACACTTACGATTGACACTTTTTGGCTTCCTCACCATTTGTTCCAACTTCTAACTTAAGTAATTAAGGTAATGAGAAATAAATTCAGTCAAGTGTGTCCAAAAAAAACGACCAAACCTTGTTAGTGATGTGTCACAAAAAGGACGCCAACAAAGAAGTACATTTCTTCAGAAAATTCTTTTTTTTATTACAAGAAAAAAAAAAAAGAGCATTTTCATCCCAAACAAGAAAATAAAACAAGATTATATTAATCAATTATTAAGAGGATAAAGAATGACTTTTTTCTTTTCAATAATTTTTTATTTCCCCATGTATTCAATAATGATATCAGTCATGTTTATTTTCACATGCACCTAAAGAAGTCCGATGATGATGATGATGATGGCGTAAGAAAGAAAAGGAGTGGTTAGGCGAGTAGTATCACAACAATGGGCCAGTGATGGACTGATGGATGGATGGGTGAAGGAAAGGAAGGACAATGTGAACTGCATGATGATGGAGAGAATGTGATTGGTTTGATCCCCATGTATCTGCATCCTGCTTCGGTTGCAGATTGTGCCTTCACCCTCCTTTATCAACTGCTATCTGGAGAAGGTTCTCTATGCATGGCGTTTTTCTTCATGCTATCGAGGTATTCCTGTTGTGACACGGCCAAGACGGACGCCAATATCTCGTCGTCTTCCCAGTCTGTAAGTCCTGTTGCAAAACAAGAGCAACAAAACAAATCACGGTTTGGTCACATAGATAAAAAAAACATGTTACATACACTAAAAGTCCAAACATGTAACACACATGAGTGAATTTCTTATCAAAAGCCAATGCTTGAAATGAGTTTTGAACATTTTTTGATAGATAAATTGGACTGTATAGTGAAAGAAAAGCAGGCAACAAGTGTCCAACATGCATTGGAACTTCTTGAAAAAATGCCTTTTATTGTTTTTTGTTGCTTTTACTATTATTGTCAAATGTGCAAAATAGAATGAGTAGGTGTGACCGGACGTTTTAGACTGATCCATTACAAGAGTTCAATTTGTGAAAAACATTCACTCCCTGTTTGCTCGTTCTTAAGTTCTTAGCCGAAACAATGCCGCTGTCAACAGTAGCCGGGGTGTGCCGATACTCCACTACAATCAAGTGTATTTAACGGCACATAATAAGTGTACACGCTGCTTTCTGGGTGCATTTCGCAGCTGAATCACATGGATCACATCACAGATTCAAGCTGTGTGAGACGCGTGAGGAAGGCGAGCGAGCGCGGTGATTAACATGGCATTCCTGAGCCCAGGATTCTTTCATACTGAATCAAGCGGGACAGCTAGACGAATTGGCAAGCATGATTCCACTTCCTCACCAAAAGCAGTAGGGGACATCTCTTGCATAATGGCCCGATAGCCCAGTGCCGGATACAGAGACACCAGAGAAGACGAGCTGGGTCTGTCTGGTCCAACGCAAGCCTGGTTACTGGGACCTGAACGGCGAGACGGAACGCAGGAAATCTTTATTTTCAAAGACTAAAGTATTGAGATTTAGTTTCTATCTAAGTGGTTTTGAGTGAATTTCACAAAAAGACGTGTAACATTTTACCCTACAAAAACAAATATTTTGCATGGTGTATTTATTCTTTTGCATCGACAACTTATTTTCATTCAATTTAAGCACATTTAGCCGCACATTTTAATTACTGTAATGCTTCTGGATTAGGGCTGTCAAACGATTAATCGCATCCAAAATAAAAGTTTGTGTTTACATAATATATGTGGGTGGACTGTGTATAATTATTTTGTATATATATATATGCTTGTATATATTTAAGAAATATTTTCATGTATATACTGTATATAGATTTTATATATGAAGAGTTCAGACGCAAAAGCCTCTAAGTGCCATTTGAAATTTTCTTCTAGAATGATAATTTTTATCAAGCTTGTATATTTAAGTTCAGTGATTTCACTTAAATGGCAATGATAATTACCTATTAATTGTTATTTAAGTGAAATTACTGAACTTAAATATACAAGTTTGATAAAAATCATCATTAAAGAAGAAAATTTCAAATGGCATTTAGAGGCTTTTGCATGTGAACTCTTCATATAAATATAAATATTTTATATATAAATAATAATTTAAATAATATATATATATATATAAAATAATTATACACAGTGCACCCACATATATTATGTAAACATAAACTTTTATTTTGGATGCAATTAATCGCAATTAATCGTTTGACAGCCTTAATCTGGAAACTTTAGTTACCATTATTCTTAATGATAATTCTCATTATATTTGTATTATTGTTATACATACCACCTAGTCTTTTTTTACATAAATATTTAATATTTTTTTATTCATATGCAACAATTTGGGGCCAGTTTAAAAAAAAAAAACTTTTATTAAACAAGGATGCAATAAATTGATCAAGTGACAAGAAACACATTTATAATCTTACAAAGGATTTCTATATGTAATAAAAGCTATTATTTTGAACCTTCTATGCATCAAAGATTCTCGAGCACCAAATCAGCACATTAGAATGATTTCTGAAGGATCATGTGACACTGAAGACTGGAGCAATGATGCTGAAAATTCAGCTTTTAATCACAGGAAAATATTTTAAAATGTAATAATATTTCACAATATATTACTGTGAGCATTAAGAGACTTCTTGCAAAAATAAAAATAAAATGATAAACCCCAAACTTGCTAGTGTACATTACGGTAATGAGAATTCAAATATTACAAACAAAGCAAAAAAATACTTTCTTATTGAATTCCTTTAGATTCTGGGGTGAAATACGACCCAGACATGTTCTTGACAGGTTTCCAGAGATTCACCCTTATAATCATTTTAATCATCCGTGAACCTCATGTGCCATTTACCCCATAAATTGTCTTGCTGAAGGAAATGCATCATACTGTTAGTTTTAATGACACCGTCCTTATTGCAAAACACTGATAACAGACCTGGTGCGCAGGGTGACGGGGGTTTGGATAGTGCGAGGGCCGCTCCGGCCGGGGAGGGGGGCTTAGCGGGTGTGTCCGAATGCGAAGGATCAGGAATCTCCGGAGAGGGGGCGGAGCTGCGTTGCCGCGGAGACCGGGCATTCCATTCTTCCAAACCACTGGAGGCCGCAGCCGTGGCGGAGCTGCACGTAGCGCTGGCCTTACGAGGCTGAGGGAGTGACAAAAGTAAACGTTTATTCACAAATCCTAAGTCAACAGGCTAATTGTCTTTATGCACAGCTCCACCCTCTACTTCCTGAACTTCAGCCAGCTCCTCATTGGACAAACTGATTAATCCAGGTGTGTCTGATCTCAGTAGTCGCATCAACAATAATCAGGCACACCTGAATTAATCAAGTTTGTCCAATAATGGAAGACCGGAAACAAGGAGCTGGTTGAAGTTCAGGAAGTAGCGCAGCTGTGCATAAAGCCAATTGGTATGTGATTGTGAAGGCTTTAGAGTTAACAGTAGACATTCTTACACAAGGACATTTACGGAAAGTAGGTTTATGTAAGGTTTGCGTAAAATCTTTTATATTTGTTTGCGTAGATGATATGACAATATTCCATTTCAGAAGCACATCTTCAACAAGTTCTCACTGATAGGCTGCTGTCAGTCAGTTCAAAAACTGATTTAGAAGAAAGCCTATTGTTTCTGTGAAGAAGGGTCTTGTTCACAGCTGGTTTAAGTGTGAAAACGCAAACCACATAGATTGCACGTTTTTGCGAAACCGATTTGTGTACCTGGCTTGAAGCAGTCATCACAGCTTACGTGTGACTGAAAATAATTCCAGTGCAATCAGCGTTAAAACCAGCGATTTGTTTATGACGCCAAAGGTTTTGGTAATTATCACACGTCAAACACCTGATTCCTACCGACAGTCATTCTATTAGGAACGCAACTAAAGGTTCTGATTGAATGAGACACGATGTTAGGTAGTTAGTAGGATTAGTATTAAAACAGGCAGGTCCCACACCTGTCGCGCCTGTTTCTCCTGGTCTCGAAGCCACTGTAAGTACGATTCTCTGGCCACTTGCTCTTCTATAGCCTCGTTGGTGGCTTCCCAATCCGTGGCCCTCTTCTTGTCCTCCAGCATCTGTTGCTCAATCCAAGACTCCTCTGATGTTTTAATTGCATTCTTCATGAGTGACTGGTCTGCAAACTGCATAGAGACAGAAAGAGACAGAGAGTAGCGGTTAAAGGCCACGGTGTTGGCCCTCGGGTGACAGGTGTAAATGTCTCCTGAACAGCAGCTGATTTGTGGGAAGAGGAAAAACAAGCTAAATGCAAATTAAGCAGTTACGTCTTTTCTTAAAGGAGTAGTTCACTTTTAAAAAAACCTTTGCAGGTAATTTACTCACCCCCATGTCATCCAAGATGTCCATGTCTTTCTCTCTTCAGTCGAAAAGAAATTAAGGTTTTTGATGAAAACATTCCAGCATTTTTCTCCATATATTGCAATTCAATGGGAACCAAATGGATCAAGGTCCAAAAAGACAGTTTCACTTTTCAAAGGGCTTTAAACGATTCCGGACAACGAATAAGGGTCTTATCAAGCGAAACGATTGCTCATTTAAAAGAAAATAAGTTTTATAAGCTCAAATGGTCGCCTTGCTCTGGATGCATGTTCGTGAATCTCCTGTTCGAACTCATTCATCAAAATGAACAAATCTTTTTCCGAGTCATTTTGTTCATTTCGTGCTTGATTCATCGTCTGGAATCGTTTAAAGCCTGAAAGTTTGCACTGAAACTGTCTTTCGGACCTTGAACCGTTTGGTTACCAGTAAAGTGCATTATATGGAGAAAAATCCTGGAATGTTTTCATCAAAAACCTTCATTTCTTTTCGACTGAAGAGAGAAAGACGTGGCAAATAAATGTAACAGACCACTCTATCTTGACAGGCTCTAGGGATGGGCAACGATTAATCGCATCCAAAATAAAAGTTTGTGTTTACATAATATATGTGTGTGTAGTGTGTATAATTAATTTGTATATATAAATACCCACACATGAATGTATATATTTAAGAAATATTTGCATGTTTATACTTTATATATATTTATACATAATTAATATTATATATAAATATTTGATATATTAATAACACATTTTTCTTAAATATATACATGCATGTGTGGGTATTTATATATACAAATTAATTATACATACTACACACACATATATTATGTAAACACATACTTTTATTTTGGATGCGATTAATCGTTGCCCATCCCTACTCTTTAAAAAGAACTATTTCAACATTAAAAACCAAATGGCGAGCGCAGAACTTCTGTCAAGCCAGTTGGGACAAAAATGGTGTGGAAGCTTACTATGATTATTAGGATTTGATAGACAGAAGGGCTAAAGGCCACAGCGTTGCCCCCAGGTGACAGGTGAGAATGTTTCTGTTGGAGCACCCCGAAGAGGAAAAACTTTGTAAAGCTAAATTCAAATTGAGCAATAAAACACTTTCTAAGCGTGGATGACAGACATCTCATCCCATCCCACCTACAGAACGCACCTCATTAAACTAAAGGTTTTGACAGCATTCTGATTAGATGAGTTGAAACTCATAATATGCAAAACTGTTATCCACTCACAGCAGTGGGCGTTTACTTCTAAGCCTTCAATGCGAGATGCCCATAAAAACCGAACGTTTTTGAGCTAGGCTCAAAACTAGGGTAGGAAAATAGCCTATTACTTTTTCATTTTGATGTTTTTGAATGTAAAAACCAAGCGAACGTCATAAGTTGACCTCAGACAACAATATAATAAAATTTAAAATGCCAGTTCATGACCCCTTTAATAAATCACACTTACATTCTAACAAAATTTCTAAAGAAGAGTCCAGCACTTGGACTTGTAACAATGTCAAATAAATAGGGCTGTGCATGTCTGTTCCCTGATTTCAAGATCTGATGCATCTCTTTTTTTCTTCTGTAAGAGACACAGAGCTAGACGACAACAGTGTCTGGAAAAGTGCGGACAGCGAACTGGCTCATTCCCTGTCTGTCCAGACCTTTATGCTAAAACTAACTGACCGTAATATGGGGGATCTCTAAGACGATAAATTCTTAAATTCAGTGGGTGAGATACAAACCACCACATTGGTTTTGTACACTATATATATATATATATTTATATATGAAGAGTTCAGATGCAAAAGCCTCTAACTGCCATTTGAAATTTTCTTCTAAAATGATCATTTTTATCAAGCCTGTATATTTAAGTTCAAAATGAAGATTAATTGTCATTTAAGTGAAATTACTGAACTTAAATATACAAGCTTGATAAAAATGGTCATTTTAGAAGAAAATTTCAAATGGCGTTTAGAGGCTTTTGCATCTGAACTCTTCATATATATATATATAGTATATCTCCATAGACGTAATGGTTTTTGTACAAACTGTATATTCTGTCCCATTACACTAACCCAACCCTGCATTTTCTGCATTTTTACATTTCCAAAAACACTCATTCTGTATGATTGCTAATCTTGTGTACCCATGGGAACACAAGTGACACGAGTCCCCATGAGTCTGTGTGCTTCCAGGTTTAAGTCTCCACCGGGATAGAAAAACATGTACACACACACACTCTATTTTTGATAGCAAGGTATGATCAGTCTTTGTTCTGCTCGGCCTAAATTATCACAAGGCATGTGGCACGTAAACAAAACAGTGTGCTGTTAATGGGTCTCCCCCGAAAACCACCGACGTGTGGAATGTTTCCCTCTCAGTCGGGGGAAATGGGACACTGCAGGTCACACTTTGTTGTCTTTTTTTGGCTTTGATGACGACCGTCTCCAAATTCAGACTGGGGATTAGCTGACGGAACTGCATAAGTAAACAAGAGGAACACTCTGACGAGACGACGATGGACTTCCCAATTCACAAACCCACAAAGACTTTGTTACACAGTCCTGAGACGAAAACACAGGCTGTTTATTTCGAAAATATATTACGTGAAATTAATTATTATTATAATTGTGTGAAAAATGTCTGTTCTTGCGCAGGCCGATGGAGGTGTACGTGAAGGAACACACATAGACAATAGTGACACCAAAGTGTTGAACTCGGAGGGGTCAACCGGAGTAGTTAGCATACTTCACACTGAAAATACAGCAGTCGCAAACAACCACCAGCTATTCTCACTTAAATGACACTTTAAAAAGATGTCCTTGTTAAGAGATTGCTTTATCTTACAGAAAGTATTGTGAATCTCTTATGTAATATAGATCAACTGAGTCGATTGAGATAAAAAGAAATGTAGTCTGGTCCTAATAAACCTTTGGTCACACACGCCAATGTCAAACGTCAATTTCAATGGTGCCAGAAGAGGAAATAATGGGTTGTGGACAATGTGAAACATGTATTGTTCTCTGATGAGTTCACTTTCACGGTCTTTGGAGTGGAAAAGCCTCAGAGGCGTAATGGTTGCTGCCCCGAGTGAAGCACAGGGTGGATCGGTGATGGTTTGGGCTGTGATATCACGGCATTCCCGACTGTGCATGATGGGCGTCACTGCCAATGACTACCAAACCATTCTGGAGGACCATGTGCACCCAGCGGTTCAAACATTGTACCCTGAAGCTGGTGCTGTGTATCAATATGATAATGCACCAATACACATGAACATGAAAGTGAAGTTGAACATCTCCCGTGGCCTGCACAGTCACCAGATCTGAACATTAGAGCCACTTAAGGGTGTTTTTGAGGGGAGTCAGAAAATATTTTCCTCCACCAACATCACATAGTGACCTGGCCAATGTTCTGGAAGAGAAATGGCTCAAAATCCCTCCGGCCGAGTAGTAACTTCACTGCAAAAGGAGGCCCTACGTCAAACTAATAAATGATTGGGGTTTAAAACTAAGTGTTTTAGGTGTTTCAATTTCCTTGTCCAACCCCCTATATGCTTGTCCCACTCAACATTATTTCTCATTGAATCTCCAGCTTCACTTATTGACATATCAGATTATGGAAGAAGTAAATAGGTTGCGAATGGCATTTCATGTTGACTTTAGTGGCAGCTGCAGGTACCCACCCCTGGTTTGAAGGCAGGAAGTCCAAGCCCAACTCCAATCGTGGCTTTATTGGGATTCACAACTGAGTTGTAGTGAATGTTCCGATGGTAACTAACTCTGATTGGCTCGTCATTATTTTGATGGATGCCATGGAACGTGTTGATTGGTTCTAAAAGAGGCCATCAAAATAGCATTTAGAAACATCGAGAGCAAGATATACAGGTCAACTGCATCACTATACGAGCAAATTGGGTCACTACAGTGTCTGTTACACATATTGCTTACACAATACATCCACAAAAGAATTTTCATATTTTGTCATCGCTATTCACTAGGGTACTTGCATAGTGGACACTGTAAAAAAAAAAAAAAGTTGCTGCCTTAAATTTTTTTAAGTACAATCAACTTGGATGTTTAAGTCATTTCAACTTAAATTACAATAAACTGTTTTTTTTTTTTTAAATGAGTTGAATCTATAACTTATTAAAAAAGTTAAAAATTGCTTAACTTCTTGGGATGAGTTAAAGCAATGTAAAAAGCATGTTGTCATAACTTATTGATCATATATCATTTTTTTACAGTATAGTTAAATGTGCATAATAAAATTTTATGGACACCATAATGCAAATTCGACCCTGTGCTGACCTGTGCCGTACTGATAAACTTCCACTGGCCGATTGTACATCTCCGCCATAGCCTGCATCTCAATATGGTTCCCGTGACAGTTGTTCTTCCTCTTTCTGTTGATGTATGTAGTGAAGTCCTCCGTCACATAGTTTGAAAAGTAATCTGCATTTTTCATCTGCAAGTAAAATCATACAGAAATTATAACATGATCAGGTTTTGTACACTCTGATGATCCCAAAGAAAGAGCATCACATACCAAGTAATCCATGCAATGTTTGCGGACCACTTCGTGCATATCCTGGTCTCCGTAAACCTGATCAGCTGTATAAAGAGGATGATATGTGCAAATTAACAATAGGGTCTCTGCAAGCATTCATTTTACACCAATTTTATGTTTTACTGCATTTTCTTACATTTATGGTAGTGTCTCTGCAAAATAAAAAGTTATAACTAAATCATGTTATGTAGCAATTAACAGCATACATATTTTTGCATACCAGACAATGTTTCCGATGCATTTCTTTTTTCCTCACGAAAACAAGACAGGAGGACAGAGTGAGTTGCAAAACTAAATAATGCATGTTAGTTATTATTATTATAGTTCAGTATATAGTATATATAATTTTTCTTTTAACACCTAACAAATTTATTAGGGAGCAAGCAACTACTGAGGAACCTTGAGGGGTTTGATTGTAGGCAAATTCTGTAATGCATGCATGCAAAAGCTATGGTTCGTTCTGCAAGCGCCACTTTTGGCGGGCTTTATCATACTCATTTATGTGCCATCGAGTGACTCAAAGCAAGACTGGGGGCCCAAGTAAGGTACAGATGTAAACAAACGGGCGTATGAGCTCCGCTTTTCCTTCCAAAAGCAGCGATATGCAAATGAGCCTCAGCCTCAAAGAGCATTCCGGCTAGTCACATGACCACTTGCCGCAAAGATTCTGAGAATCTCTTAGTCAATTTCCTCTTTCGCAGCATCTGCCTACTTCTGTTGTGACACTTCTGAACAGACTAAGGAAGTTGCATTCGCTTTGCTTAAAAAAAAACAAGCTTCAAATGACAGTTCAGACCAATATACCAATACAGGTGCTTTATTTTAAGACACTTGCACTTTTTTAGTTCTTAGAAGCCATACACATTATCTGATCGAATGGAATAGGGTGTTTAAGAAGAGGAAGTCTTTGGTGCAGAAACAAATATCCCACAGCAAAAGCTCTCAAAAAGATTGATTAAAGACCAGTTCATGGAACATCCAGCAATGAGTGAATGCTTTGTGCTTCTTAGGATATTCATTTGATCTGAAAGAACCGGTCGTTCTGTTCTCTGTGTTACAAAACGAACAATAGATGCAGTTTCTGGCAGGTCCGTGTTGCTAGCTACAGATGCCACTCCCAAGGTTTGTTTGGGGAAAAATGGATTTTCCATTTATGAATGCTTACAGCCGGACGCGTGTTCATTTAAAGGTGAATGCGGCTGGTGCGAGTTCTGAAGCCAACTTTTGTCGAGTACAAATCTCCAATTAGATCAATGAATTGCTTTTACTTTTCTAAATAGGTGAACTTTAACATTTGAAGCTGTCTTTAGGAAAGATCTCAGCTCACACACAGGAGAACAGCAGCTGGAGATTCGGTCTGTTTTTGGTTCCCCATTTGGTCTGTTGTTGGCATTTCCATATGTCTTACCCTTTCCATTCATTACAGCACAGTGCAGTGGATAACCAGACTTGTCGTCAGTGGGTGCTGCGGGGGAGAATCAGGGATTCCCCTCGGCTCCTTTGCATTATTCTGACTCATGTGTGATGATCAACACCTGCCCTCGCTTTTTTCCTGATTTCACCCCAAATTTGAATAACAAACAGCTTTACAACAGTGGTGCTGCCACGTGGGGCCTGGAACTTTTGCATGAACAAACAGTGAGCAGTACTCAAGAAAAACAGTTCCTTAAGTATGTTGACCTAAATTGCATTTTCAACATTTATATTTTAACAGTAAATGGATTTCCAAAACCCCCAACTTTAAATGGATAGTTTATGAAAATATTGTCATCATTTACTCACCCTTACTGTATGTCGTTCCAAACCTGTATGACCTTTTTTTCTGAGGAATACAAATTAAATTTTGAAGAATGTTGGTGTCCAACAACATCGGATAACACTTATTCTTATTTTGAGACATTTCAAATATCTTCTACAGGTTTGGAATGACATTATGGTGAGTAAATGATGGCAAACTTTACAGCATTATGCTATGGACCATGATAAAAGTCATGAGGCATGTTACTAGGTTTGTGGCCCAACTTACTTTACACAATAATTAACCACCTAGCAATTCTCTAGAACAACCCAAAACACCTAAGCACCATTGGGTTTCCAACTGGGTTTCCAAAATTTTAGTATTTTTAATGGTTTCTAGGGTATTTCCAAGAGTGCTCTGGGTGGCAATACTAGGTGTTTTACACTACCATGCAAAAGATTGTTTTTTTGGTTTTTGAAAGAAGTCTCTTCTGCTCCCCAAGGCTTTATTCGATTGAAAATACAGTAAAAACAGTCATATTGGAAAATACAATTAATTTAAAATAACTGTTTTCTTTTTGAACATGTTTTAAACTATAATTTATTTCTGTGATGCTGAATTTTCAGCATCATTACGCCAGTCTTCAGTGTCACATGATCCTTCAGAAATCATTCTTATTTGCTAACTGTTCTATTCTTATCCATGTTGAAAACAGTTTTGCTGTTTAATATTTAATACTTTTGTCATACTCTTTAAAGAATAGAAAATTCAAAAGAACAGCATTTATTAGAAATCTTTACGGTCTTTAATGTCTTTACGGTCGATGCAATGCATCCTTGCTCAATAAAAGTATAACATAAGTGATATGTTATTCTGATCCCAAGATACATACATGTGATAAGTCTACATGATATTTTCCAACCATTTCATAAATAAAAAAAATAATGCTGTACAGAATGATTTAGATGGTTTTATTTAGTGCCATGTCAGCATCCAAGGCTATTTTCATGGCAAAAATTAAATGTTAAAATTAAAATACTCATATAAATACAATAAAAACCAAACAAACAAAACCATAATCTTAAAATCTTAGTAAAATCATAAACTCACTAAATAAGTGAGGTAACTTCATAAAAAAATGCATAATACTTGTATTAAGTCCAGAACATACTAATAAAATATGTTTAAGTTAGGGTAATCTTACAAAACCTGCATATAGTCGGGTCTTCACCTTTAAGCAAAAAAGCATGGGTCAAACTTGTATGACCTAAACGACATCTGGTGAAGACCACTTGATCAAGTCTACTTTTAAGAGTGATAAAAAGTCGGTTTGTAATTTCCGGATGAGTTTGTTTGTAGCTTATTATTGAACTCTTCTTGCCACTTAATTAAAATGTATCGATTTAATGCTGTACAGAAGACGAAATTTGTGTACTTCTGATCACGCAAACAAACAAACACACAGGCAGACATTACTGTTTACATTCACATAACTGTGTCTCAACTGCAGTGAAAACGCGACTAGCCCACCCCACCGCAACGATCACCCTGCAATAGACCGTTTCCCAACACTAAAAGCTGGTGGTTGACCTTTCTGCCGCCAGCGGACACATTGATGAGAAGTTATCGACAGTGAATATAAAAAGCAAAAAAGAGAAATTCACTGGGTAGGTCTACCACGAAAGGCCGATGCCGCTGATAGAATTCACAAGAAAAGAGAAGAGAGGTCCACCAAGCAAAAACAAAACCACAAGCTCACTTCCACTAATGTAGGCCGCAGATAGCGTCTCGATTCTAAGAAAGGGGCAGGCCCAGCTTAAACTCAGAGAAGAGGAGAGAGAGCTCAGACCTGCCCTTGAGGTCTGGCGGTCATTGATAAAGTTTATCCTCAAAGAGCAGGGCCACAGTGACATCACAATAAGCTGAATTTGACAAAGATTCCCGGGAACTGTATACACCCTACGTTAGTTTAGGAGCTTCATTCACGTATTTCGGCAGCAGGAAATGTGTCATATACGGAAACAAATGAGAAAAGCAAATAACAGAGTAAAAAGACTGCATAGAATGAACAACACCAACAAACTATACCAAACCAGATGCATATTCAGTGGGGTTCAAATTATGAAACCGCATTAAAAACAATTTTGAAAAATGACCAAATCCTCAAGATTCTGCACTATTTCTAGGTCTAAACGTAAGCAAATATTTGACTCTGATCATGTGGAAGGTCAGATTGTCTTTGGAGCATCTCAAATCAAATCAACCTGGACTACTTGATCATCAGGTTTTGTTCATGGCGCCTTCTGTCATGAATGCAAATTCTAAAGCAAAATGTTTAAGATTAAATAAAACAAATCAGTAACAATTTACTTTTATACAATGCATGCAAGTATTTATGCATTAATTATGCCTTGTAATGCACCATATACAATGCATAACATCATGAGTAATTGTAACCACAGTTATAATACTATTGTTACACCTTTAGAACGTATCATGCATTTAAACACGACACACCACCAATTTATAAGCATTATAATAGAAGTATAATAATGCATTTTAAGTTTTGTTACAATCATTTAATTTAATTTAATAAAACATATGTGCTATAACGTGCATTTTGAATACCTTTATTATACATTATACTTAAAAGGCTTAGAGTACAGTTGTTGTTTTGTAAAACCCGCATGCATACTGTGCAACCCCAATTTCACAAAAATTGGGACATTTTGTAAAATGCAATGAAATCAAGAATCTGTGATTGTTTTAATTCTCTTTAGCCTTTATTTAGCGGAAATTTTACAATGTGAATAGCATTTTTGTTTAATATAAACATTTGGATTTTTATGGATGTGGAGGCATGTTAGTCTGTCACCTTTCCCTTTAATTACATTCAACAGAGGTCTCTTGCTTTGCCCAACCTACACAAGCTGAAATTTCTTTGAATTCACTAAATCTTTACTATAATGGTAGATGGTGAGAAACCTGAATACTTTGCAATCTTCCAATGAGAAATGAAATTCTTTCATGAAATTTGGCACAAAGGGGTGATGAGCCATAATAACCCATCTTTCCTTGCAAAGACTGAGCTTTTGGTGGATGCTGCTTTTATTCCCTAACAAGACACCCTCACTTATTACCAATTCACCTTGTAATTGTGGACTTTTTCAAGTTTAACTTAGATATTCTGTAATCGTTTCACCTTTATTTTGTCTTTGTCCCATCAAAATCCAAATTAGTTTAATTCATTTGGCCAATCAAAACATTGAATTTGTTTTCTTTGTACTTTTGTCAGTTAAATAAAGG